GCGGTAGACGTACGCACAATCCCACCCCTCTGCCGCGGGCCGCACTGACAGATGAAGCTGCAATCGGTGCCCATGCAGATTCACAACAGATTATTAACGCAGTTTACATCCCAAAACTCAATTTACAGCAGTTGTGAAGCAACAAGTCTAAGTGGATCTGTTAATACAAGTACACGTGCACATACGGCGTCACCGAAGAACCAAAACAAACCACACATGGTGGTACATGTGTGCGCACTTCACTTTACGCTCCCACAGCCACAGTATCAGAGCGCAGAGGAGGCGCTGACAGAATCCCCCTGTTCATAAGTATGAGACCTTTATTGGAGGGGCTAATAAGAAATAAAAAGACTTTGACAGTCTGTTTACCTGCTCAACACTCGGTGCGTAACTTGCTGGCAACTCGATGACCAAGCTCCACATATGTGTCACCGAAATCCACGCGCACTCAGCGGCAAACACAGCAGTCCCATCAATATGCAAGCACCACAAAACTGCAATGATCTATTCCAGAGGCTTGGCGACATGTTAGCAAAAAGTACGAGGCAAAAACAAGCGTCTTCCATCCATGTTTGACATACGAGAAGCGGATACACTCCAGTGTGGCGCTTTCACACCGGCAAACAAACCAAAACTGGTCCGATTAACGAGCCTCTGTATCCCGGTAGAACAGTGATATCTCCAGTAACCAATACTGATGTTCCCTGTTAATACCGCGGGCGTCCTCATCTCAAATTATCACCATGAACTCATAAAACAGCAACGTAGAACTTTGTACAAACTCACCGCATCAGTCCTGAGTTCGGGTAACAGCAGTCGTCCTACAAGCGCGTTGGTCAGATGGTCCGGAGGCTCCATCCTCCATGTGCTGGTTCCAGACGGTGGCGAGCAAGACCAGTGCGCAATGACTGGGTCTGAGCGGGTACGTTCCGCCGTCTGCGCGCTGGTTCCGTGTTCCGTGCGGGGAAAGTGAGAATGTTCTGTGGACTATACCTACAGGTCTGTGCTGCTCCTGTCCTCCGCGCTCAAGAACAGCGGCTGGTTCCGAGGTGGTGCAAAGCATCCGGACAGAACGTGAATCCAGTTTAGTTGGTGTCCGCATTTGGTTCTTCCCGGGAAAAGCGCTTTTCACTCCCCGCTCCACGTCATCTGAGCCCGGACAGAACCGGAGCTGCTCCTGCTGGTTCGGGACTCTGGTTTGGATCTAGTCCGACTGTATTTCTCACACTAAGCTAAAAGGACATTTTTAAAGGTGAATCAATTGAATGGGCGATTGCCTATTGCCATAAAATTATTTGGTTAATTAAAGCCTAAAATAACAAATGCTGGTTCCTACATGATCACGGGGAACACCGGGACCCCTGTGCAGGTCCAGAACAGAAGTACACACCCCCATTTTTGACTCACTCTGGAGCCACATGTTCACACGTTCTTGCTCTGATCTTCGTGTATTACATTCTCTGTATTGGCCATTGTTGGTAAAATATTTCGAAAATGAATCGCGGCTGCGTCTGGAAAATAATCTGTTATTGCGCTGGAGTCGTACAGTGCGTCATTACAGGCAGGAGACGCGTTTCTCCCATGATGCATCTAGAATAGTTCCTTTGGACCTGCTGTGTATGGTTTGGACCCGGGTTCGCGTTCACACCAGAAGAACACACACACCAAATGACCAACTTTGGTGCGGATTCAAGCGAACCGAGACCACCTCTTTTTTTAGGTCTCGGTCTGCTTGAGTTGGTGCGGGTCCGAGTCCGATTGACGCTTTCACACCAACGCAAACGACCTGAGCTAACCACTTCTGGTTCAAATGGATCGTTTGGTGCGCACCAAATACTGTCGGTGTGAAAGCACCTAATACAGGTCAAGGCTCACTGATGAGCATCTTCAATCTATCCTGAGGATCTCATACGCTTCCTCCTGCAAGCCAAATATCTCTCAGCTGTACAAGATGAATCGTTGCCAGGTTTCAACCAGCAAGAAGTAGGCAAAAGAAGAAGAGTAGACGTATCAGTTTAAACTTACGTTCTGAATACATTTTCATGTTCTGAACTGTTATTAAAGATTAAGAAAGTGTGTTGCGTGTTGTTCTGTCTCTCTCCTTTTTTCCCGTGCAACCGCTATTTATCGAATACTCAATGCGGCCCAGCCTCACTCAGACTTTATCTAATGTGGCCCCCAGGTAATTTGAGTTTGAGACCCCTGTGCTAGAGGGACCATCATGGCAGGACAAGCCCCTAAATGGGGCATAACACTGGAACAGAACTGAAGTGGCTGATAAAGAAATCCTACCAATGGCTTGAGAGGACTGGTCTGAAGGACAGCACAGAGGCACTGATCCTGGCTGCTCAGGAGCAGGCCCTGGGCACTCGAGCAATAGAGGCCCAGATCTACCACACCAGTGTAGACTGTGCAAAGAGGCTCCTGAGACAGTCCAGCACATAACTGCAGGTGTAAGATGCTGCAGGGAAACAAACATGGAGTGACATAACCAAGTGGCGGGCATAATGTACAGAAACATCTGTGCAGAGTACGAGCTGAAGACCCCAGGATCAAGGTGGGAAACACCTCCAAAGCTTGTGGAGAATGACCGAGCCAAGACCCTGTGGGACTTCCAGATACAGACTGACAGGATGGTGATGGCGAACGAACCAGACATAGTGGTGGTGGACATCGCAATACCAAGTGAAGGTAATATAAGGAAAAAGGAACACGAGGAACTACAAAAATACCAGGGGCTCAAGGAGGAGCTGGAGAAAGCCTGGAAGGTGAATGCATCAGTGGTGCCTGTGGTGATCGGACACTCAGGGCTGTAACCCCTAAACTGGAAGAGTGGCTACAACAGATACCGGGAAAAACAACGGACATCACAGTCTAGAGAAGTGCATTACTGGGAACAGCAAAGATACTGCGCAGAACTCTCAGGCTCCCAGGCCTCTGGTAGAGGGCCCGAGCTGAATGAGGGTGAGAGACCAACCACCGTGGAAGGTGAGAAACACATTTTTATATATTTACATATCAATTGGTCCTAGTGAAGGCCCAGGGTCCAGGTCCATGATTCACCACAGCCAAGTACAAAGGTGACTGCAGAACTGCACACCAGAAACTAAAGATTTAGCCTGTACCAGCATGTGTCAGTGCAGCAGCCAGTGCCAGAATGATGATTTCCCAAGCCATGTTGTATGCATAGACTGTATAAAAGAAGTGGACTAAGCGAGTGTGACCCACAGAGTTCAGCAATGCTCAAATTAAGCTTCTGATGCTAACAGTTACAGGAGCAAATTTGGAGCCAGACTCTATGGCTACGTTCAGACTGCAGGGCTTAATGCTCAATTCCGATGTTTTTGTGAAATCCGATGTTTTTGCGAGGTCGTTCACATTTCCAATTAAATGCGACTTGTTTGTGACTTCAGTGTGAACGGTAAACGGCCCGAAAGTGTCCCGCATGCGCACTGGAGGACACGATGACGTCAACCCCGTGCGTCAACCGCAGCGAGCGTGCTGTGTTTACGGAAGTTGTCCAAATATGGTCGCGAGCATTGAGCACCTGGCGATTTTACAGTTCCGGTTTCCGCCTGCTTCAGCGCAGAATAGTGACGTTTGTCGCTTGTTAATGACGTGTAGGTCGGATGGATGCGCTTTGGCCGTTCAGACTGAAGTCGCATGTGAAAAGATCGGATATGTATCGGATTCAGGACCACATATCCAAGTGGCCTGGGTCGCATTTGAAAAATTCAGACTGTCATTAAAAGATCGGATACAGGTCACATAGAAGCCAAAAAATCGGATTTGGGTCACTTCAGGCTGCAGTCTGAACGCAGCCTATGTTATGAATAGTCGGACAAAAAAAAAAATCAGGATCATGTACAGAGGGGGTTAATTCAAACATTTTAAGACCAAAATGATGAGGCTCACAGCAGCAGTTACAGAGAGGGGCGACAAGATTCTACAGTAATGTAAGTCCAGCGGAGCCAGAGTCAGAAGGAGCTTTAAGGGTCTCCTGGCAAACTTCCTATTTGGCACTCGGCGGCTACAGCGTTAGCTATGTCCACTCGTATATATGGTCTATGGTTGTATGAAAGTGATGATGATAATGATGATGTATAGAAAATGTCTAATAAAAAAAGTTGCGTAGTCATATTGTGTCTAAATGTGTATGTTGACATTCAACATCCACATTTTATGTTATGTTTTATGTACTTTTAAATTCTATGAGTTATCTGACCAACTGCATGTGATGTTTACAGTTTGTTTTACCCATATTGTTGAAGTATTTCAACAGGATAATTAAAAAAAACATGTTTTTTGGAGGAACATGGAGTATTACATGCGAATATTACAATGAAATTGCAAGAAAACAACCAAACCGGGTCATTTTTTACCCACTTATGCATCTAAGGGTTAATGTGGGTAGGTCTTATAGCTTTGTAACTAGCACCATTTGATTCCCTGACCCTGAAAATGTGGGTTTAGCAGTTAAAATCAACATTTCGACTTATTCAGAGGCTGAGCTATTCCAAAAAGATTTTTTTGGCAGCCATTTTTTAAATATTCAATATGGCTGCCATAAAGACATCTGGGCAAATGCAAATATTGATTTTCTGACTCCACACACAATAACCTTGGCAAAAATATATAGTTTAGCAAATCCCCCTAAAATTCCCACAAAAGTATAGTGAACTGGACTATATTGCCCAGCCCTAAATTGGTCAGTGTATGAAATTGTAATAGAATTGAAAAAATTTAATTTTCATTTATATATTTACTTGAAAAGTAAGATTGATTATGATGACTGAGAATTTGTTTTGCCTGGTCGCCAGCAGCAGCACTGCCTCAGCAGAGCTTGCTCCAAAGGGTCAAAGCTAAGGCCAAAGGACCTCTATGAAGGCCACACAAATAATATCATTTTTGTGACTACGCTCCAGGTTAAATTATCCTACTTCAGTAGAATTCAACTATCTGTGTCACCAGATGTCACTCGATGTCTCTATGACTCTTACCTGGGCAGTCCTCTCGTCCTGCCTCTTCTCTCCTCAGAGCACATGTGGGCCCAGTCTTTACCCCTAGCTCCAGACACCAGATTCTGTCTCACATTTGCTCTGTCATCCATGGAACCTTTTTGTCCATTACCACTGCCACTGTCACTACCAGTCCCTCCACCTCCCTTTAGCAAACCGCTCACACCATCCGTCCCCATTTGCCCCTTGTCTTTAGCGTTACAGAGGACATGTGCACTGGTAGTTTGCAGAGGCTCATTACACTGACTGCAGTGTGCTTGGACCTGCTGCTTCCTGACCTCGCGGTCAGCTCTACATGGCTCCCTCAGACCCAGCTCTCTGTGGATCTGCCGAATCATCACACTCATGTCCACGCGGTGCTTTGCAGGAAGAGAGGAGTCCTCCAGTGTAACTGTAGCCACATCCACTTGTGATCTACTTTCCTGAGAAGCCTTTTGACTTTGTGGATTTGATCTTGACTCAAAAATAATGCCGGCATCTTGAGGTAAGTGGTCACTGGTAAAATCCATAATACCTCCATTTGAGTTAGATCCAAAACTGTTGCAATAACCACCAGCGTTGTTGGCAAAAAGTTCAATTTCATTAGCACTAGCTTGTGTACTTCTAAAAGGGTTTTTTGTTAAGCTATGGGGTTGACCATTCTGGTCTGCTTGAAAATAGGGCCGTTGCATAGTCCAGCCAAAAGGGGGCGCAGGCAGAGGGACTACACTAGGTCTTGGCATAGACTGGTGTGTGGTGCCAGGGTCTTTGTGTTCCACCTTAAATGTTGGCCGTTGTGTGTTGACGGCAGAGTTTTTGGTAGGCTTTGTGCTGGCTCCGTTGGACTCAAGTTTGGGTTTAGGGCCAGAGATCTTCTTTGCTTTGTTCTGCTTCCTCCGAGCGTTTTTCCTAACAAAAAAGAAAAAAAAAACATGAATAAATGTGAATTGAAATGTAAGAATAGAGTAAGGGTCAGCCTACTGTGGTAAGTATTTCCAGATGATGGGAGTACTTTTTTTTTTTTTTTTTTTTTTTTTAACAACATACAAGACACTGGACAAATTGCTCTCCATCAGGGATACTCCAGCTCACCCACTGCACCAGACTATAGAGGGACAGTGGAGCTCATTCTCCAACAGGCTTCTACAGCTTCGCTCAGGACTATATTCATACTAGAATGGTCCCTATAACTGTAAAACAACTCACCCTTACTGTATGTAACAGATAATTCTAATATCTAATATATATTTTCTTAAACTTTTTCCTGAAGTAAGAAAGATTACTATGTGAACTAATCATTTATGAGAAGTTTTATCGAGCATGTAGTCTAATGGGTAAACCGACTTTGAACAGGCTGCAGTGAGTCTCTGTCTCCATATGGGCCACTGTTACAGCTCTGTGCCTGGTCAGCACACCTACTTATTTTCATAAGTGTATGACTTAAATATTCCCTCACTGAGTGCGAGTAAAAAGGTGAATTTGTACATTTTAAATCGCTGCTGAAGCTGTAAAACAGCCATAGTCTGTAGGCGCAAAATGTCAAACCCATCATGGCCATATTTGGAAGTTCAGAGCACGTTTCTTACTGAATGCATATTGATTTTTATGTAAATAAAATGTAGATGAGGGTTGTGGTATTTGTATCTGAATGTTGGCGAATTAGAAGCAACTATCACTTAAGAAGGAATGTGTCAGTTTAAGAACGCTTTGTGAATCTGGCACAGAGTCTCAGCATCTTCTTAAAGTGAAAGTTAGAAACATTTTTTAAGAAAAGATTCATGAATGAGGCCCAATGAGTACATATATATAAAAAAACTGTTAAAAGCATTGTGTAGAAAGGTGACAATGGTACATACTCCTGCTTGTTGAGCTTCCTGTTCCGCTCCAAGATGGCGAAAATGGTCTGCATGCTCAAACTCTTCTTCAGGCTCATGGGCTTCATGTTCTTGGAGATCAGAATGTGGAGCTTGTTGTTGTGAGCTGCAGTGGAGATGTGCTCCTCGTACTGCCTCAGGGTCATGGAGGAGCCCCCACACGCCTGGCACTGATGACCTGCATCTCTGTGTGAGTGTATGAGTGTGCCTCAGAAATCACATCAGTGCATTTTAGTGTATTCTGAATGACTTTCTGATGAGAATGTGAATTCATCATTTCGACATTGAAATTAAAACCATTGTTTGTTTGTTTTTGATCAAATACAAGTGACAGTGGCTCAGTGGTCAGTGCAGTGGTCACCCAACCCAAAGGCACTGCTGTTCTGTCCTTAGGCAAGACCCTTCACTCACATTGCCTAGTATGAATGCTGTGTATGAGAGATTGTTGGTGGTCGAAGGGCCGATGGTGCAGATTGGCAGCCTCACTTCCCTTAATCCAGGGAAAAAAGTTTCAGGGCAGCTATGGCTATAATGTAGATTACCATCACCAAGTGTGGAGAGAATGAATAATGACTATAGTGTAGGATTTAGAAAGGCTTCGAAAAGCCTTTTAAGTGGATTACAAGTGGTATAATTATTTATGATCATTACAGAGTATAATTTAAAAAAACATACATATAGTTACAAGTAGTGACCCAGCTGCAGTTCCACAGCTCATTTGTTAACTTTTTCCTAATGCATCTCAATGGACATTTGACAGTAACATTAAGATTTTAACGTTCAATCTGGAGCTCTATATTTCTTGTATTTGGTGAGTAACATGACAGCTTTGTGCAAATTATTTCAATAGTTATATGTTAGAACAACACAGTTAAAGCTTACTTATCCATCAGTGAATCCAGGTTCCTGTGATGGAGCTTGCTGTGCATGTGCTCATGAGCCCCCTGAAAAACATTAAAGGATCGTGTTACATGCATACTACTTCTACTACTGCTACTTCTACTGCAATATTTTATAACATTTTATAACACACTTTCATTACAAGGAATATCAGAGTGCTACAGAGAAAATGAAACACACACTCAAGCAACTACAACAGTTACATCCTTCCTAAATATTCACCATACTAAAAAATACTAAGGAGTAGACTCAATACTCAATATTGATTCTGATATCATGGTGACAAAAAAAACCCCAAAACATTCTTTATTTAGACATTCAAATGTCATGTTCTTTTCTATTCCCAAGTGGCCTTATATCTGTACAACTCTATGTGCTCTTATACAGCTCAAGCTTCAGCAAAGGTTCACTTCTGCCCTGTAAATGTGACTTTTTTTTTTTTTTTTTTTTTTAGTATTGATACCTGCTCAAATGAGTATACAAGTTTTAGTATCATTTAGTATCTGGTTATCAATACTTGTGGCATCCCCAAAATAGACATAATTAACTAAAGGCTTAGTTTCTCTGAGCTCATCAGTCAGGACAGAGCTGAACAGTGTGTGCACAGAAGCCATGTGACCAGAGACTCTAAGTAACTCACCTGTCTTAAGTAGTGGCATCGACATACAATACAGAAGAGCGGACTATTATCTGTTGCCATAATTCAACTGTGGAACCAGAGGAGCACGCTTTTACATGTAATAATGCACAGAAACTGGCATTCCAATTGATCACACCGCTGTCATCTAACGTTACATAAGAATTTTCGAAGAAAAACGTAAATAATCAGTCTCTGTGCATAGTTCACTGAATAAACAACGGATAAACATGTTATTTAGAGGCATTACCGTAGAAAATTCACGAGTCTCACTGTTGTTTGAACGCCATATTGGTGACGCGTTTTACGTTTTACGTATATCAGCTCACGTCAGCCAATCGAGAGTCCCGAATCTAACGGAAGTTCGATGGCGGACATTTTCTGCAGATGTACAAACACTGGTGCGCGTGAGCATAAACAGCGAAGCGTGTTCCATAACATTTATAGATCTAACTTCTGTTATTTCTGAGTACGGAAGGGTGCGTTTACCTGAAGTTTTACTCTTTAAAGCTAAAATATCAAAATGTGCAACGACTGCGTGCATAAACAGTATCCAGACAGGGTAAGAACAAAGAAAACTGCATCCATAATCCCCAATACTGTAATTTTGCAAAGAGAAAGTCATGGAAATATGCGTGTTATAGATCCACGTAGAAACCCCACAAATGTTGACTGATTCTTCTCGTTAGTAGAAGAGAACTTGTTATGCTCACATAATATATGTGTGAGTGAATAATTGCACACATTTGGTTATGAAAAAAAAAAACTCAAATAGAGAATGTTAATAATGTTCTCAACAGCTACTGCTGCCAAAATTGTACTTCAAATCCTACAAAACTGACTCTTGTGACCTTTAATGTTATTTAAAAAACAGACCTGGAATTGTGTTTTGTTTCATTCACACGTGTTCAAGTCTGTCGAAATCTCCAAAGCTCAAAATGCTCTGTTTCACTCTGTGATGTCATGTAGTGATATTTTTCGCGTTAATATCTCCTTTTACCTTTAGCTCAGTAGAGTCAGGGAATTCTAGAGGCGAAATAATCTAAATGATAATGGTAATGAAAGTGCATCGGGTTTAAAAACACAGTAGAGTGCTTCATGTAACCACTATAGAGTGTGTAGATTTAAATGAATAGAACTAACCCTCTAGCCCATTGTTTCCCAAAGACCAGGTCACGACCCTCAGGTGGGTCGCAAGATCATTTTTTTTGGGTCGCCTTGGTACCATCTGCATGTTGGTCTGCAATATACAGCTCTGACACATGTTGAAATGTTAAGACATGTTTTGTATAATTTCTAATATTTTTCTAATTATTTTTATTGACTATTTTATTCCAGTATTACTGGTTCAATTGAATGTTGAAAAGAAAAAGATGATGTCCAAACAGGCAACTTATGGATACCTTTTATCAATGACTGTTTTTCATTGTTTAAATCTTGAGTAGTACTAAATGTTCAGAGAGACACGACCAGTCAACAATAAAATATTCTTATTAATGTTCAATAGGGGTCAAATCCACCTTTATTTTGTGATTTATGAATAATGTCTATTGGCTTGGGTTGCAAAAGTTTTGCAAAAGTTTTAAAATCTGGGTCCCCAGAACAAAAGTTTGAGAAGCACTGCTTTAGGAATTCGAAATAGGAAGTGTTCATGGGGGCACTCCCAGCTCCATTGACTCCACTTGACTTTACATTGAAAAACTGTCACCCCTCTCTCTGTGAAAGCCGCTGTCAGTGTTGTCATTTTGGTCTTGAAATGTTCACATTAACGCAGTCGGCACGATCCTGGTGTTTTGTCACTCTTTTGTCAGTAAATAAATTCCTATTCCTAATATGGAACTGGCTCCAAATTTGCCCGAAAACTGCTACCCTCATGAGCTTCATTTGGAGCCGAATGCTGCGGGTGATGTCAGGTCACACTCTCTCATCCCCTTCTTTATACAATGTGTAATTACCACATGACATCACAAAGGTGGAACAGTTTTTGTCTAAATATACAGGATTTGTGTGTTAAACAGAGAATGAAGTCTGTGTAATGCCTCAGTTGTACAGGTGGATGCACATTTTGCTATGTGAAAATGAAACATCATTATAACATAGATCAGAAAATAGCATAATATGGACCCTTTAAGAAAAAGTAAAAAAGTATACATGATTGAAATGGATAGTATATGGATAGTAATTTTACTCAATTACAAGAACAAGTACAGGTTGAAAATCAAGAAAGTACAATTACCCCAAGAACTTACCCAACTACAGTAAAATAAGTATTTATATTTACAAATACTTATTAACCAAGTTAGTCTAAACATCACCTCTGCATTTGAGTTATATATGTGCTGCAATAGTATTAAACAATGGTGTCCATGTTTGTGCTCCAGGGAAACACGTGTCTGGAGAACGGCTCGTACCTGATGAATTACCAGGGCTGTGCCAACTGCCACCACAGAGACTTTGTGCTGATCAGCAACAAGAGCACGGAGGACGAGGACGGAGAGGAGATAGTTACATACGATCGTAAGTTTAGTTTTCAGGAATTGGAACTCATTCAAAAGAAAAATTTACAAATGTTTTCCCAATTATATTTGTTTATTTCTACAAGCACACCCCAACATCTGCAGAGTAATGATGTAATGTGACCCATCTCACTCCCCAGACATTTGTCTGTGGGCTCTGATTGGTAGATGTGTCTGTAGAAGTAGACAGGAGACTCTGTCTTCTGGGGCTGAAGGGACAGGCTGGAACATGCTGTACTTTCACCTAAGTGGCCAAACTGAGGTGAACATACAAGATGTGCCATGTTCCAGTCTTTTTATTTAAAAAATACAGCTGTACAAGTTTAGACCTTTACAAACATGGTTCGCAGTAGTCTGAGCAGAGACTCCCACACGTCCCTCTCCACACACACTTCCCCCAAGCTGTTCCCAGACGAACAGAGAGACATAGTTCCTCCAGCGTGTCCTAGGTCTTCCTCCTCATGGAGACATCCAAGAGGGAGAACAGAGGCCTGAGCCTCCTGCAGCCCTAATCAGTTTAGACTTCAGTCTTCTGTCAAACGTGAGGGCTGCGGAGCTGTTTACAGTGTGCTCTGGACACAATCACACCGTTTGCTCCCACGGCAATGACGGGTTGGTTCTATTGCAGCTACCTGACTCACTGAGCACTTTCTGCATGACTGACTTCTATATGTAAAGTTAATATGATTGATTGAAATTCAGGAGCAGGACCACATCTCAACCTCCTCCTGCTCCTCCCCAGCCAACCACAACTCAGCTCAACCACACCTTCAAGTTACTCTAAAGCCCTATTTATAGGGGCCTATCCCTACAACACCATCTGTCTTCACTCTCTCCACCCCACTCGTTCTTCAGCCTGAAGACATCATCTACAAAAGGGAGGGTCCTGTCTCCTCCCAGCCATTACATCTGTACACAAGGCCTCTATTCCATGGTAGCCAGGGAGAGGTAGAATTGGGTCCAGTAAAAACTATATTTTACTTTGCATTCAGCGTGACAATGAGGCTGGATCCAGTACGTGTTTTTTGCAAGGGTTTAATGAATGGGCAACTAGTTTAGTAGCACTCACAGCGGCAACGTAAGGACGCTGCAACTGAGAGCAGGAATATTGCAAAGATGAATATTGTATTGGTAACATAAAACCAGAAACAAAAGCAATAGTGGTCAACAAAAATTACAGCTACCCAACCAACCTCTGCTCCTCGCTGCTCCCGGTGAGTGTGCACCTCTTTAACACTTCCCCGCTCATGTGACCCCACTGCCTCTCGGAGAACAGACAGACATACACATGCACACGGTGACCAAGTGTCTCCAATAACATCCATCCATATTGTCAATAAATATCTGTATCATCTACAGTACAGTTGTTGTGGCGTGGTCCTTGCTAGTGAAATGTTGTGATGTCATCCAAAAATGAGCACGTCGAGTAGACCCCTTTGATGAAATTATGTAAAGTCTATACTTGTATGTATTCATTGTAATATATTGACAATGCATTACTTTTTCTCTTTTGTCAGATGTGTGCAAAAACTGTGAGCATGTGATTGCCCGGCACGAGTATACCTTCTCTGTAGTGGAGGAGTATCAGGTAAAAGTCTTCTTTTCTAGTACTTTGTGCAGTATGCAGGACAGTAGAGTGACTGTGTCTGTGTGCAGGAGTACACCATGCTGTGTCTGCTGTGTGGGAAAGCAGAGGACTCCATCAGTGTGCTGCCAGACGACCCCCGGCAATCTGCCCTTTTCTAAACCTGCTAAAGAAACCTCTAATATATATGAACCTTTCTGACTGAGCTAGAACTATTGTAATAATATACATTTATCCTTTATGCAAACTTGTCCCCAAGCCTGAATTGTGTTACTATGTTTTTATAATATAATCCCACTAATGACCTCACAGAAACAAGGCCATTGGTTCAACTGTGTATAGTTTGCATGTTCTCCTTGTGTCTGGGTGGGTCTCTTCATGGAACAATAGGTCAAATCCTTGAACTAAACATCTGGAGATGGGCCCCTGCTCCTGACAAAAAGTCTTAGCATTAAAGTGTAGGATAGGATGTGCTGAAGGTTCAAAATTCAGATTTGATCAGTCGGTGATTTATGATGAATATCTGTGTGATTATTAGGCTGTGATTATTGAGCCTTTTTATTGTTACTCTATTTCGGGATTGAATATCACAAGAGTTTTCCAGACTTGATAAAGGGCTGTAACCATTACTGTAAGTAGTCCACTAGTCAGCAGTTATTTCTTTCCCTGAACGCTGCCAGGCTGCTCCTCAGACGCTACAGGAGCTCGGTGATGTCCTTCCACAGATCAGGGAGGACAGCCCACAAGACTCCCTCCATCGTCTCATTAGGAGCATGTCATGACGTTGTCAAACCTGCATACAAGCACATTGGGGCCACATGAGATATTGAGAAGCATTTTGAGTTGCAGAAATTAAATTTTGGAAAAATGGATTAGGCTGCCACATCATTATTTCACTTTGATTTTCAGGGTGTCTATAAAATTAAGACATCTGTGGCTGAAAATTTGATTTCCATTAAAAGAGGTGGCATCCTTTTGTTCCCAAGACTTTGCCTTGTCTGTATTTGTATAGATATCCAGCTTTTTTTTTCATTAGTCATTAGTCTCTGCAGAGACTCACTTGGTAGCTGCCAGCATGTAAACCAAATAATGATTAACTGCATGAGTTTTTGGAAATAAATTCTTGGCTTTTCTATTCAAAGAGTTCATATTACACTGTAATGATCTGTTACGTAGTTTCCTCACCACATCAGGCCAAAATTGTGTTTTGTTTCATTTGCACATTTAACACACAAACCCTGCAGTTCTTCTCTCAAACAGAAAACACTCCACACCATACACCTAACTTGAAAAGTACCACTACATGACATGACATGACAAGGTGGAACAGAGCATTTTGAGCTTAGTTGATGTAGACAGACTAATACTAGTTTCTCAAACATGTGAGAATGAAACAAAACACAACTCCAGGTCTGTTTTTGAGGAGGGAACAACTTTATAAACATGGCTAACAGCTTAAAGTAAATTTTGTGTAATAAAGGACCTTTTAAAGCTTTCTATTAAGAATACTGTCACTCTTTACAGTCTCACCCTTTACAGAACCCTTTGTTGAAATTAAATCTGAAGAAAAGAAGCGCACAACCCAAGTGGACTACATGATGTTGTATTTTTAGAAGCAGATAATAAAAATACAGATGCCTCGGCCGGTTTGTACAAATGAAGAAATGATCAAACAATAAAAAAAAAACATCATGGTGACTTCATGCATTACAATACTTAAGGAGTGAGTTATGTCCAGTCTACAGCTCTGTGTGTGTGTGACGGGAAAGCATTCTATCACAGGGCCCTCTGCTAAGGCCTCTGTTTAATACTACCATCAGAACTCTAGTACTTTTACACAGAAAACACTACATGCCTGGCCAATGGATGTGTGGACTGCAAATATGATCCGCTTGTGCCGCTGACTTTCCAGAGCGGCTTGTTTCACATAGTTTTCATGTTTTCATATCGTTTCCACCCAGCAGTTTTCAAGTAATGTTACTGAGATACACAGATTTCTTCCAGGGACACTTACAAGTCCTTTGGCTAGTTAAGTTTAGTCCTGATCAAGTCCTTGTCCAGAGCCTGTCAAGTCTAGAATGAGTCCTGTTTTGGTTGTGGCTTATAGGAAATTGTATTTACCAAATTAAAATAACCACTTAAAAAGTAGAATTGTGTAACTTTTCTATAGGAGGCTACTTGTTTCCATGGAGAAGTTATTGCATTGCCTGGAATGTTCCACAGTTTGCCCTTAAATGTATTCATCTTACAATTATCCAGTTGCAGGGAGCATTATTGCTACAAGAATATCTCAAAAACATACCCTGTGTGAGTGAGCTTGCCTCTCCACAGATCTGACCTGTAACTTGGACTGGTTAAGTCACCTGCTTGCCTCTGTGGAGATTGATCAGTGGAAAATTCCAGGTTTCTCAGGGTTTTTCTATGTTATTTCTAGTAATTTAGCTGGGTAATTGCTGGATCAAACATACAGGGAAATGGCTGTGGCTTCGTTCACACGTGGCCCTGTTCTAGCAAAATGCAGGTTCATTCCCAGGTCAGGCTGTGTGTGTGAACAGGGCATGTTCCTGGAATGTCAGCAGCACAGGCTTTAGTGTTTCCTATTGCAGTGTTATTACCGCCTTATTACAGTGACGTCATAGTGAAGACATGGTTCTGGTCCTAGTGCGTGGGAAAGCCTTGCTCTAGTGGTAGATCTACTGTTTCCATGTTTTTGGTCTTGCTTTAGGCCTAAGTGGAGAATTACAGTGAAATGAGAGGTCACGTTGGCAAAATTAACTTTTTTTCCTCCCCAATACTTAGTGTTCATTTCAAAAGCTGCATTCATGTGACGTCATAAAACAAGTTTTGATAAGCTGCCATAGAAAAGATAAGTGCAATACAATGTAAGCGTTTAAAACATAGTGTTACAAAAATCTAGTTTAAAAAAAAAAGAAAATAGAGTAAAGGTTTGAAAAAAGTAACATCAGCTTTATAATATTCAGATAAAATAAGTGCAAGATGAGACAAGACCTTTAAAAGTTGATTTCTATACAAATGTGTTGTATGTTAAAGAGGGGGGATTTTTTAAACAAGATGGTCTGCAGCTAAGAAAAAAGTTTAACGTGAAAGGAGTTTTTCATAGTGTATATGTTACAGCTACAGGGACTATGTCTCTCAGCTGGCCTGGGATCTTTAGGATCCCCCCAGAGGAGCTAGAGGAAGTGTCCCGGGTGAGGGAAGTCTGGGCATCCCTGCTCAGACAGCTGCCCCTCTCACCTCATCCCATTCTAGACAATTTCATAGAATGCCTGGCTTCCTACTTTGCCTCTAATATATCCATAGTTTTGTGTTAAAAACCTAAAAAACTAAATATTATCACCAAGTTCATCAACTAGACTTACCAAGTTGCACTTGCGAAGCCTTTAAAGCTTAGTAAGTCTTGTTTAACTTGGTGATAACATCTTATCCCTGGACATCTCAAGATTTATTTAAATTAACCAACTTAAATGTGACAATTTTTTAAACTAAACTTAACTGGTGTTAAGTAGGACTCTCCTGCTCCTGGCCCATTTGTCCAACATTTTACTTTAAACTCTGCCATTTTGAGCTTTGTCTAAAACTGTAAGCACAGGTGGCAGCACACACTGGGGTTGTGACACACACCTGTCTGTGTCCTTCAGAACACACTTTTGTAATTAATAGGAGTACGTGAAATCATGATTCAAATTCAACAATGGCACGGCTCTAACAGTGGCCACAGTGGCCCTCCATGATAAAGCTTTGGACAACCCAGAGCTCCTGAGGCTCACTTCAGTCTGAGAGGACACATGGAGCTACAGCTGCTCAGCAGAACAGTGGCTCTTCTTGATTAGTGTTTTCGTGTCTGTTAAAAGTGTTGAGGTTTCCGACAGCACATGAATGCAGCGGGAGGGGAGACTTTGTAAGAGACGCAGCCAACACCAAATAAATAAATAAATTATAATAAGTTTATGGTACATTTTACATTTCATACAGTACATTCCCTTGCTAATACTGCTCTGTACACATGCCAGCCACCTCATCACCGGCCCGCTTTGGCCTTCACCTCCAGGCCTGGGCTCCTGCCAGGGGAGCTGGGGCCCCACTGTGCCCCCATTGCAGAGCCTCTGTCCTGGGCGTGGGATGGCGGGGAGCCCGGGTAGGTGCGTGCGCTGGGTGGGGGTGGAGGGGAGGCGCTGAGGGAGCGCTGCAGGCAGGAGGAGGAGCTCCGAGGGCGGGGGGGGGGGCTCAGGAGCAGCCCCGCCCTGTCCTGTACCAGAGCGGTCAGACTGGACAGGAAGTCTGCGTCACTGGTGCTGGACGCTCGGATCCGGAGACGACGCCTCCTGGAAAACAGCACACGAGTGGGCGGGGTTAGTGTAGCCGGGGCACAGAGGTGGGCACTGTGTCCAATTATTAACAGAGGTCACGGCACAACATAATTTTCACTGAAAAGTGCCACTGAGTCGCACTGAGAAAAGAACTATGGGCAACTCTACACACAAAATGGTTCTTAGCTTGGTTCATGGAGCAATATCCAATAAACACATCTGGGGCTTTTCTGTCGTATTGTTGTATCTATGCTCAAATCAGTTTTACCCACCCACACATCCTATTGGTCAGCCTCAGAGACACCCAGAGTGACTGATAGGATGATCTAACCAATCACAGCAAAGTGTGTACTCACGGAGGAAAAACAAAGAACAAAGACTTAGTTTCTTCCGTAAGTCAATAAATACTCACCCTTATTTAGTATATGGTCAGTACTTGCAGATACAGATCATCCAGATTATGTAGGTAGCCCTTCACTTCACAATGATTTGTTAAGTAAAAGTGAGTAAGGTGTGACTTACGACCTTATGACTGCCCGTACCTGTAGCTGCTGTCAGCCCCTGTTCTCACTGGGGGCCGGCCTGGTGGGGGTCTGGGCATGAACTTGGTGTTGAGCTGCTCCGACACAAAGGAGGCGCTGACGGGCCGAGGGATCTTACTCCTGCTGCCTGAGCTGGAGCTGAGGGACAGGGGCTCCTCTCGCTCGGAGGACAGGCGGTCCCGGGGCAGGGCAGAGGGCAGGTTATCACAGGACAGAGAGGGGGAGGGCGAGTGGGTGGGGGAGCCGTGCAGGGGGCTGCTCCAGCGCTTGTGCCTCTCATGGGCTAGCTCCTTACTGGGGGAGTCCAGAGGGGTGCTGGGGTCTCGCACCGGGATACGGCTCAGTCTGGGAGAGGTGGGAGAGTCTCTTCTTCTGAGCAGAGCTGGAGGAGGGGAGGAGGACACTGTGACTGTGCTCTCCAGAGCGCCCCCTGTGGTCTCAGGGAGGGGCTGCTGGTGGGGCTCGGAGGAGCGGTCAGGCAGGCCTGAGTCGCTCTCTGGGTCTCGTTCTGGATCTCGCTCTGGGGTCAGGTGGGCCATGGGGGACTTGGTGGGAGTCTTGGTGGGAGTTAGCTCCTGCCTCTTCCCCCTGTCTTTAGCTGGTTCTTCGTCTTCTGATTTAGCCAGTGGAGCTTCCAGGGGGATGATGTCACTACGGTCCTGTACTGGGGACTGGGACACTCCACTGGACGACTGAAAAAGACAAACCAAAGACAAACCCAAGACAACGCTGGGATCAGGCAGAGACATAGGGACGCTCAAATGCTATCTTAGCATAAGCATGCATTTTAGCCAGGTCATTTTCACCTGGATAAATGCACACTTAAACTAAGAGATAGCATTGGTTGTTTGTTCTTTTTTTCTTGCTAAATCTGATTCTCATTTATACTCTCTTATTTGGAAGTTCACAATATAGATTCCTTAATATTAAATATTTAAAATGTTGCTGTTCTTCAAAACAGCATTCATGATATTTTGATCATCTGCCCACCTGTTAAAACAGTTTAGAACATTGAGAGATCTCAGTGCTATACTCTGGTCTGGTGTCAGGGGTTTAGAGGGAGCTGTACCTGCTCTTGGCTCCGGCCCATGATGACTGAGGGCATGTGGCCTAACATGCCGGGCAGCCGCCGATGTCCCAGGAGCCAGGTCCCAGGGACGGACACAGGGGACAGGACGGGACTGGAGGGGACCACGGCCTGTCCCTCTGGAGCCTCTGTCTCTGCAACAGCGCCACCTGCTGGTTTATCCTCCTACACAGTAAAAGCAGAGTGTGTTGTCATGAGGTTATATAAGAAGCGTTACAAGATACAAGATGGCTGTGATGGTTACAGGTTTTTCTGCTGATGGCAACATCTGACGTCTTTAAATCTATCTCAAGGCCCTAACCTGACAAAAGCAGACAGATCACACAGGAACCATACAAGACAGTGGTGTAGTGGTGTACCTTCACCCCCTCTTTGGCTGCAGAGCCCTGCTCCAGCTCTAACATGACCCACTCCTGACTGTCGCCCTCTTGTGGCACAGGGCTGAGGTTGAGGGCCACAAAGCCGCTGCTGGCGGCACCGTCCTCTGGGTCTGCGGTGGCAGTGCCTGAGTGATCCTCCCCGGGCTGAGCTGCCCTCTCGGGGATGGACTTGTCTCCCATGTGGAACAGGATGGGCCTCTGTTTACCCAGGCTGGCAAGAAAACACATTACAATGAGCTAATAAGTTTTAACAATCACAAATGTTATTAACAAGTCAATAAAGCAGTTTTGTCTATAAAGCCGTGTATCTGATTTTTGTCCTGTGTGTTTGAGTCTTCTGTGTGCTCTCTGCATCTAATTATAAAACATTTTATTTTATTTATTTCATTTAATTTATTCAGTAGGGTGCTGTTAGTTGTTGTTAACTTCACCATGATGGCAAAATTCAGCTCTGGTTTGTACAAGTGGTGAAAAATACTTATAAATGAATCTGTTAAAAATGAGGATGCTCAGAATGCATAAGGTAAGTGAGGAAAAACCTATGACCACTGCAAACTGTTTACAATAAAGTAGTTCTTTTTTTCCCCACACTTTTTTAGATGGTAAAAATTAGGTTCAGAGCCTCTAAAATACAAAAGTGAGTAGTAGAGAAGTAAACTGACAGAAATTAATATCTTGTTTAGATCTAGAATTGGAACACACAATTTCTATACTAATTTTAAAGAAAAGACTAATACAAACGGGGCTAAAATGTTGATTAAGCAAAAACTAGAATTGCTGAGGAAATACTGTTCTAGGTTCAAAATATGAACCTTTTCACTTTTTATTTTTAATAGATACCATTCAATTTTTAATAAATATTTTAAGAACCACTGACTAAGACCTGGACATGGTAGCTGTACATTATGTGCTGCCACCTAGTGGTAGCACAAGTACATAGTAGTAGTACTGGTGGTGTGATACTGACTATGCCTCCAGGAAGCGTTCGATGGTGGGCTTGGGCTCCGGGGCCAGTCTCTTCTCAAAGGCCAAGCTCTGACTGTGCCGGATGCGCCGCAGCAGAGGGGCCGCTCGCTCCAGGAACATGGTCTCAGAGCGGACCCGGCGCGGGGAGCTCTGTATGGAGCCTGTGTTTGGAGACTGGTTCCCCTGGTTCTGACTGTGCTCGTCTTCACTCACCACCTAAAGCACACAGCGAGAAAAAGGGTTTACACACTTTTAAAATGTCACATTGGCAGAGGTGAGTATTATTCTGTTCCATTTGCTTCAGTAACTTTTAAAAGAAATTGTACTTTTATAGCAGAATAGTAAGAGAGAGAGAGAGTATGTAATGTTAAATGTTGTTTGGGTAATGTAGTATTTTCAAAACTATACTGTAAAAGGTAACATGATGATTTACATAGGGTATGTGAGCTCAACAGTAACTGTCTACTCTTGTAGTAAATTTCCATTCATTTTTTCCCATAGACTTTTAAAAGTTTCAAATACTATGAGGCATCACGTAGATTAACCAGCTCCATGGAAACTAATATCAATAATGTGGTTGTATTAAGTCCAAAAAGAGCATTTAAAGCACAAGATTCAGCTAAATGTTTTAATGATGTATAAAGATTAAGAAACAGATTTTAAATTAAATTATAGGTCTTGCGGTTATTAGTCACCACTTAGCTCAGCGCCTGCTTTCAATATACTTTTTTTTTTTTTTTTTTTGGAAAGATTATGGGGAAAATGAATGAGAAATTTACTTTGGGAACTGGGGGGTGGGTGGTCACTGCTCAACGTCTTTAGAGCGTCAAGGTCCATGTGCCGCAAAGTAATTCACCGCCAAAACATTAGGGGGCTAGAATATATGTCCATTTATATATATGGTCTATGTGTACAACCTGCAGACATATAACCTCTGAAGTTTGACAGAGGGATGTTCTTCTATCGCATTGGAGATTGTTCATGTTAAAGAAAGAACACACATATTCCTCTGAGTCATGTCCTTTTAAAAGAACCCATCTCATGCAAAATCAACTTTTCAGAGCTTTCTAACTTCTAGGAGTGATGTGTGGGCCTTGTATATGTCGCAGAAATGTTTTTTTTAAACAAACTGCCATCCTACAGCTACACCTATGATGTGTTTGACATAACCGCCTCCGCCCTGCCTCCACCCTGCATCGGCTGACAAGTCCCACATGAACACCTAAACAAAAGCGACAGCATAAGATCATTGTTCTACATTGTAGTGATATATTAAGTTTATCTACTAGTATTTATTAATACTTTACCAATCAGTAATGTTCAGCTGATGTGGACGCAGTGCTTGTGCTTCGTGCACCTCAAAGTCCTCGTCTGATTCCGGGTCCAACACATGCAACTGAACGCGCTGTATCTCCATGATGAATAAAAGTTTATTCCTACCACTATCAGACCGCTAAACGGGGCGTGACTGCATGACTGCAGGGCTGTACACAGGGTGCATGCCTGTCTCCCCCTCCCTCCCTGAGTTGGGCGGAGGAAGGGCGGCCTACGTCACGTTTGGAGGGCAGAGCCTGTGCTTTCTCAGGACAGGCGGGGGGATGAGCAATAGTCGGTCTTTTGTAGTTCCTGGTCTGTGACTGTCTCCAAGAAATCAGTAAGATTTCATAACTATTGTGTAATGGATGTTCCAAAACCCAAATTGTGCTTGTTTATGTGCAGAAGATACAATGTGAAAAGAGTTATTTTGCATGAGATGGGCCCTTTAATTCTGACAGAAGCTGAACCACATCAGGGCAAAAGGAGCAAGCTGTTTTTTGAGCGCTTAGTTTATGCAAATTAGCAATGCGGTTTTAAGTTTTGTTTCTGTAAAACATAAACAAATATGCTCAAAGCTGCATTAAACACATTATTACTCAGTGTATATTGAAAGAAAGGAAAGCAGAGAACAGGAAATATATGTAGTGCAGTGGTAGGGAGGACCAATCACAGCCCTTATAGTCTGCGTCGCTTCCCCTGATGTCTGCGTCGTTTCGATGCATAATTAGAAAATTTCGGACGTGCACGTCAGTCGACGCAGACGCTGTATGCAGATTCTCTGCATCGTGATGCAGACGATTTGACGTTGGACTGTAAAATGGCCTTTACCCCTTCTTTAACTAAAGACAACACCAATAAGTACCATACTCCAAGTTAGGTTGGTACTATAGACTGTATATATAAATGGACACAGCTAACTCGCTAGCCACCCTGTTCCAAATAGGAAGTTTGCATGCAGCTCTTCCAGCTCCTTCAGACTCTGGCTCCCATTGACTTACATTAGAATATTATGGTTCCTCGCTCTCTAGCTGCTGCTGTGAGCCTCGTCATTTTAGTCTTAAAATGTTCGTATTAACCCTCTCTACATGACCCTGGTGTTTCTATTTTGGTATTTTGTCCATAAAAAAAAATCCTATTCCTAATATCAAGCATGGCTCCAAATTTGATCCTGTATCCGCTAGAATCACGAGCTTCATTTGATCAGAGCTCAACACTATGGGTGAAGTCACACTTGCTTAGTCCATTTCTTTATACAGTCTATGGGTGTTATGCGATCAGTCCAAATGCCCACGTGACATGACCCACCTTCCTGATGACGGGCTGCGCTGCTGGTTTGTGGTTGCGGTTGCGGTCGGTGTGGTCCCACATGTCTCCTGTAGGGGGCGCTGTGGTGGGAGTGGGGATGGGGGGGCAGTTATCGGCATCGCTCAGCCTCTCACCCTGCAGTACATCCTCTGTATTCTCCCTCTGGAGCTCCCCCGGTAGCACCGAAGCATTGGCCATACTGAGGACAGGACACACAGGTTAGAGGCATGCTCAGCTATGTTACACTAGCAACAAGATGCAGCTTTACAGAGGGACAGGCTGACCCCATTAGCCTGCTGCTCTGGGACGTCTACACCTTTGTCCTTTGTCCTATTTCTTACTCAGTGTAGTAAAAAAAAAAAAAAAGTAAAAATGTCATTCTTGCATAAAAAAAATATATTTTTTTAAGTACTGCACAACTTTTATTGCACTATTTTGCAGTAAAATGCTGAGGCACCAACCGGACATTCAATTTAAAAAATTTGGACAATGAATAGAACAACAGATACGTAAAAGATTTTTTCCTGAAATGTTTTATAAAAACTATCCATTTGTGTGCACTACAGTAATGCTGTAGAATGGAGCACACGTGCACTGCAAAAGAGGAGAGATAAGTGGGGTACATATGTGCTGAGGGGGAACATAACACACAGAATGTAAAGGGAGAGATTTAATAGTGAGATCAGTTTTAGATGAATTTCTGCTCAATAAAATATACTTATACCTGTCTAAATCTTACCTAAGATTTTGGGTAATGGTCATTATTAAAGTTTGATCATTCAATTCAGGTAGCAGCAAATCTCCTGAAAACTTACATTTTTGGACTCAATTACCCAGGGTAGAATAGAGAGGAATCCCAAAAGCAAAGAGAGCTCAGAATAATGATAATGGAAAAAGATGGTGAAGTGAATGCAGTTTGAATGGAGTTTATGGAGTTTGCTCCAGTACAGAGGATGCTAGGACCCTGCGGTGTTGTTATTTACAGGGCAATGGCACATACCTGTGCAGTGTAGCAGCAACTGATAAGAGCTCTGTCTACAGTCTCTGGCTCCATGCTGCAGAGCTCTGGTCTATGACATGATGTCATATCATGGGTTCTATGAGAGTGGGTGGAGCTTGTGTCCTGGTGCTTACCCTAAGTATGCGGGTGTGAGTCTGGTGAGCTGCTGTGTGGTGGCCGCTGCAGTGATGTTGAGCATGTCCTCTGCGTCGCACTTCTCCCAGTCGTATGGGTCATTCTCAAGCACACTGTGGCTCTTCATGGCTTTGTCGAACACGGAGGTCAAGAGCTGGGGACCACAGGAAAACACAGAGGGTCAAAACAGACAGAGAGAAAGGCGGAGTGTACGAGCCTGGGGCACAGGGCACACCTGGTAGTCAGGTTTGGTGAAGTAGTCCAGAGTGGAGATGTGGTCCAGGAACGTGCTGAATTCGGAGGGCAGGTGTTTGAGCATGAGTCTGTGGTCGTATGTCTCCTTCAGGTTCCCCACTTGCTCCTGTGGGAGAAAAACAATGAAAGCTATAATGTAGTGTTCAGATAAATGTACAAGGGAACACAGAGCTTCTCTATTATGGCAGAAATTATAATATTTTCTTGCATTATTGAAATCAATTATTTCAAATTACTTTATTTGCAGATAACACCAATATATTTTATTCCAGTTATATTTTTTGGTAATTATAAAATAAATTCTGAACTTTCCATGTTGATGGTGTTCAATGTCAAAATCAAATGGGTTTCAGATAATACATTTTTAGGTATAACGAGAGATGAAAAGGTAAGCTGGAAACCACATCTCAGATACATACAATCTAAGGTCTCAAAAAGTATTGCGGTAATCAACAGAGGAAATACATTCTTAATCAAAAGGCACTTCAAATATTGTATTGCTCACTCATACTTCCATACCCGACATATCGTATAGAAATTTAGTTCTTCTTGCCCTTCTAAAATTGCAAAAACATGCTGTGAGAATAATGCATGTTGTTCAAATAAAAAAATATATATATTTTTTTATTTTGTGAAATTCTACACTGCTTTGCTTTTTATAAAGCAAACAAAAATATACTGCCATTAAATATCTAAAAACTGTTCAGTACACAACAAGTACACTATGAACAAAGGGGAAGGGGCAAATTTAAAACTAAATCAGTGGGAACCACCAGGAAAAGCATACGTGCGTGTATGCGTGTATGTATGCGTGTATGTATGCATGTATGTATGCATGTATGCATGTATGTATGTATGTATGTATGTATGTATGTATGTATGTATGTATGTATGTATGTATGTATGCATGTATGCATGTATGTATGTATGTATGTATGTATGTATGCATGCATGCATACACGCATACATGTATGAGAAAAGTATGTATGAGAATTGAGATCTGGGCTCACAGAAGATCACTCCAGAACAGTCCAATGCTTTGTTCTTAGTCATTCTTGGGTGTTTTTATCTGTGTTTTGAGTCATTATCCTGTTGGAAGACCCATGACATACGACTGAGACCAAGTTTTCTGACACTATGTGACACATTTTGGTCCAAAACACCTTGATAGTCTTGAGATTTCATTGTACCTTGCACAGATTCAAGACTCCCTGTGCCAGATGCAGCAAAACAGTCCTAGAACAAAACCAAACCTCCCCCGTGCTTCACAGTAGGGACAATGTTCTTTTCTTGGTCTGCTTCATTTTTGCGTCAGTGAACATAGAGCTGATGTGTCTTGCCAAAGAGCTCCAGTTTTGTCTCATCTGTCCAAAGAACATTCTCCCAGAAGCTTTGTAGCTTGTCAATATGCATTGTGACAAATTCCAGTTTCACTTTTTTTTATAATAATACATTTTAGGTATAACGATAGATGAAAAAATAAGCTGGAAATACCTCAGATACATACAATCAAAGATCTCAAAAGTGTATGTATATATATCGGAATTTTGGACATAGGGCCTCATTTCCTATTGAGCCACAGTACTGTAGTAGAGATGCGTGGATGGGCTATTTTTTCAACCGCAACCGCGACACAAAACTCATCATCCGCCCGCTGTCCATTTTGCACCGAAGGTTTTCAAAACCGCACCCGCCCGCCATCCGCCGATTTATTTTAGATTTTAGAACAATCATACAGCAAACAAACAAAGGAGCCTCGATAAAAATGCAAACTCTATAGCTCATTCATTCCAAAATTCGCTCAGCGTGTATGTTCGCATTCTTAATTGTCCGTAACAACCCCAAACTTACCTGGTTTTCTTGCGCAGCTAATTCATGGACAACATTTTCCGACTAGGCTATTTTTGAACCTTCTTGCCTTCGTGTTGGATGTTGTTACATTCTTAACATTCTGCCATTGCCCGATGTTATTTCAAAGTCATAGCCTCACTCCATCGGTCTTTCTTTAAGTTTTAAATACCCCGAGAGGCAGCCTACGCTATAATGACTGCGTGTTTTGAAATATAACTGATATCGAAACAAAACAGACAGATCATCTCATCCAGATGAACCTTTATTGAAATCAGGCAATGCCTTCTTTATATTCCAATTGAAATAGACAAGAAAATATATGCATAACTAAATAAATATGGCCCTATAGCCACTTATGTGTTGGCAAACAGCTGAAATAAATTAGAAATAATAAAATAAACTGCATATAATATGTGCCTCGTAAACCTTAGGCATCAATAACCCGACACAACCTTAACCTTCAGAACATAAAAACGAGGTCAAATGGGCTAATTAACGATATGACGTACACTTCATACTACAAGCATAGACAATGGGACTCGTCTTTTCAGATGTAGGTAACAATACTAACAATAACTTTTTTTTTTTTAGTTAAACCGCCACCCGCCCGAATTTAATTAAAATATAATTTTTCGTCACGTCATCCGCCCGACCTGTGGATTAACCGCGGATACCGCGGTTGTAACCGCAATCCGCGCATCTCTATACTGTAGATATGTGAAGACACTTTTTAAAATAATTCATCCAGTCCTTGTATGTTCCGTGATCAATGTACAGAAGCAAGCACATCATTTTTGAAACTGTCATGAACAGGAGTGGGTTCATAGTTCAAGTATTTCTTCCCACTCCTTTTAGAGAAATGTGCTTTTCTGTTGTTTACAATGTATATGTAGTATACATGATTATTGTTTCTTATCAACTCGAAATAAAAACGAATCAATAAAAAAAAATAAAAATCTGATCTATATTTTGTGTCACTTTTGCTTTAAAGCTGTAGATTGGGAAAAGTGGCTTTGTTCTAGGTTTGAGTGCCAGAAGAAGTGCACATATCATTTAGATATATATTTTTATACACATTTTACATTTACAAGATCTTTCAAAATGAACCACAATGAGAAAGATTAAAGCTGCATTCAGATCAGGGCATCAAGGTGGCCAGATTACATGCAACGTCTATGCAACTACATCCTGTATTTTTGCAGCGTGTCAGGAGTTGACGCTCTGGACGCCCGTTCAAGGCATTGGTCAGAAGCTGAAAAGCTGAACTTTTGGCATCGGACGTGCCACATCAACCAATCAGGGACAGGAGGAAGGAGAAGAAAAAGAAAGACCCGGGAACCACAAACACCAGAACAAGAAATCTACGCCGTGTCATTAGCATATAAATATATACATGCAGCAACTGTCGAGCGGAACGTCTCCACTAAAGGGTTTGATGTAATAAATACACTAAGGCCCCTCTCTCCACCAGGAAAACAAAGCACTCGCAGAGAGCAGTGGACACCCTGGATGCATGGCAAGTAATTTTCTACCACTCGTCCATGGAATCTAAGATGCACGTCAGGGGCGTCTGAACTCAAATGCATCCGAAAGGCATCCAAATAGAAGCGTCAGGAGCGTTTTCTGATGCCGTGGTCTGAATGTAGCTTAAGTGTGCAGCCCTAACAAAATGGCCATAACACAGATGTGTTTAGTACCTTGTCTTTGATTTTCCTCCAGGGGAGCTGGCCCACCATGAACTCCACCAACATGTAGAACAGGGACCACAGATCGTCATGGCGACCCATTTCCTGCAGGTACACACACCAGTTAGCAACACACATCTTACACAGCAAGTGAGCAACTGGTCATCAAAGTGTGGATTTGAGCGAGCTTCCAAGTCTGCACTAATAGGCTGTGTTTCCACTTACACATAATGTCATAACATTCTATACAACTTATTCATGGGTTTCATGTCCTGATTTTAGGTGCCATTTTGAGGATTTCTTCATTTAAAATCTTTAAATCTTTTATGTTGAATACTTAATATTGTTAATTTGCAGCAAACTGAACGGCCCTGAAAAGGTTACATAGCTTTGAGATCTACGGTAGCCTGTCAAAATGTTGTTGTTTTGATCTGATTTATGGTTAATCCATGTAATTACTGGGCCTACACACATGAAACAGTAACAGGTCCATTTAACACTGTCAGCAAAATAAAATTATGTTCTGTCTAAAAACTCAAGAACATGAACACTCCTCTGGTCAGAATAGCACAGGACATCCTGTTGTGCACACGTTTTTCAGTTACAGTATATTAAAGTCCACCTAACAGATTTCACTACTCATTTCATTAAAACATAGTTAACATCATTATTTGAAGATTTCACTAAAAGTTGCCTAGTTTAAAAAACTTTTACTTCCTGGTTGGACATGTCAGTAGATGTGACATACACAGAGATAATTCCATAACATACCTAGCAACCGTTATGTAAACAAGGACCAAAACTAGTTTAAATTGCATAATAGTTATGATTAGACTAATAAAAAGAAGTCATAATACATTTATTTTGTTAAATAAATGCTTAAACTGGTAGAATTGCCTTCTTTATGTGCAAATTGTCTCTGCATTTTAGATGAAACAATCCAAGTTGTTGACATAGGTAGAGAGATTTTGTTTGAGAACTCACTGCTACTTTCTATATTTGTGAACATTTCTTCTCAACTTTTTTCCACAAACTGACACTTGAATGATATAAAACAAAATATTTAGCACAGGTACTATCCCACCAAATCAAGTTAGAATTAGAAACAGTGTCATTTGCACTTTAACAGTGCTTTGGATTTTATCGAGAACAAATCACTCCAGTCTTCCTGTCCGGTGTAGGGAGAGAAGTAGCGTCCCTTTGACACATATTGACACTTACTTTGTTTTTGTGAGCGTTGATAGAGGCATAGCGAACTGTTCCTCTGAAGCCTGCCACTGGTCGAGGCTGCAGCACAGAGAGAGAGCATACACATTAACACTACTCTCCCAGAGCACCACACTTCTAATAGAGCCTTTTCAACTGTATGGTCTGAGCTTGGGAGCAGAGTCATGAATAATGAACAGGGGAGAACAAAACAGAGTTAGGGGCCATTTGTAGGCTGTCAAAAGAAGACACATAGCTGCATGCATGACTGTGTGGACTTTAGATTAGTACTCATATTTAAAGAAGACATATTGTGCTTGTGTCTATATATAGTATATATAGTTTATAATTTTATATTATAATTTATGACACTTGTCAATCATTGTTATAATTTGGTGAATTGCAATGTTCATCTAAAATAAGTAGAACAAGTCAGCTTGTTGGAAAGTTACCCAAAGCACTGCATGCTGTAGGCCCCTCCTATGGCTAGCTGCACATCACGGTAGTGAGTAACAGATTTTTTTTTTTTCATTTGTGTCAAAATGGCTACGCACTGCTGCTGAATCCTACATGTATCACCAATCTAAAATAAAACTGGAGAACAAGGTAAGTACGTCACAGTGGGTGTGTACTGTGGCGGTGAAAATGGGGGTAGATCAATGCACTGACAGCTTGAATACAGGAAAATAAAGATTACTCAAGTGTACATAAATCACTCCAAATAGAACCTCAGAGGGTCAATGAGAAGGAAACAACTATAACATGATTAAAAACTCTGAAAAGTTCATTTTGCAGACTAGGCCTCCTTTAAAGGTCTACTGCTTAACTCTTCTGTGGCGGCCAGTGCGCATGCCTGTATGACTTCATAGAGACAGAAAGTCAAAGCTATACTTTTGGAACATTCTCCATGGAAAGAGATGCCATGCTGTGGAACATTTCAAAATTAACAATAACATGACAGCTCCACAGGTCAGTGGAAAAGAAAACATGTTCAAGGTAAGGATTTTTTAGGTGTTTTTGGTGCAAAACATAAATTTTCAGCTGAAATGTAAAAATGAAAAGTTTCAGTTACTACTAAAGCACTTGGTATAATGTTGGTCACACTACTTTGCACAGATTAAAAAAAAAAAATAGAACTTTTTTTTAAAAAGTGAATGTAGGTCTAGGCCTCTAACAATAATCAACAAATCAATTAATCGTGCAAAAACTTTTAACAAGCTCGATAACACGTCTCATTTCCTTAGTGTAATGACACTTGAATGAACATGTGAGTAAGGACTGTATAGATGGATTATTTGTTTATCAGCACAGAGAATGCAGGTGCAGCCTGAGTGCAGAAAGCACTGCTGTCTGTATGGTTAACATGAAGCTACAGCACTAGCGCCGCCATCAGAACACCAGAACCGTTCATCGCTGTGTGACAAAACAAGTCACAATGCCAAATCAACACGAGTGAGTGGGACACGTCTCAGCAGCCCACATGCGTCAAATACAGCAAGCGCACAAACGACGAGAAGAAATGGCTCAAACCCTAGCAGTTGACATATATACCTGATCGACACAACTAGCCCCCTGGAGAGCCTGAAATCCCACAAGACTCCGATACTATACCAAACACTGACAAGATACCAGACAGGACAGCGGCTCCCTCCACAGGTGACATGCACAGCAGCACATAATAATAATTCCTGTATAAAAAAGTAGACTAAGTGAGGGGCCAGGCTGTATATTATGAATAAGATATTTTTGACGGACAAAATAGTGAAATAGGATCATGTAAAGCGGGTCAATACGAACACTTCAATACCAAAATGTCGAGACTCACACCAGCAGCCACAGAGAGAGGGGCCACAATACTCCAATGTAAATCAGTGACTAAAATAATAATCCATTTTATTTATTGTTTGGTTAAACAGTGGTTTATTCAAGTGCATTTTTTGTTAACAAATCCTTGCTGCAAGCCAGACTACAATAGGCTATTCTTATGTTAACAAGTCCATTTTATTTAGGTCTATTGTTTTTGGTTGTCCTGCAGTTCCTGTATTAAATGTTCTTTAAAAAATAAAGTTTACTGGTCTTTGAAAGGGTGTATTCGCATTTTTATTCCATTGTTTTTACTGGTATATTAGTTGAAAATGGACAATATTATCGTTTATTGCAATAATTTCTCCGTCAATTAATCGTCCAGCAAAATCTGTTATGGTTACAGTCCTATGTAGGTCTGTTGTGTTTCCTTACATGATGAAAAATACATTTTGTTTTTAACTGCATTTCATTTAGATAAAATCAAATAAGGCCAACGCTACACCATTAGCAGCCAGGCACTGCTGGTTGATATCACGAGTTTAGAGTTGGACCATATTTCTCGCCCTGACAATAAGTGAGTGGAGCCAGCAGACCTAAGCACTTGGCCCTGTGTGTAAAAGGCTGCAGACTGGTGCAGAGCTGTGCTAGGCTTTTACCGGCCGCACTTCCTGGCTTGAGTTGGTGAACTGTCGAGCCAAACCGAAGTCCAGCATGTAGCAGCAGCGGCACGTGCTGGCCAGCCTCCCCATGGCAAAGTTAGACTGCAACACAAATTAACAAGGATAATGAGCAAGACACAATTAAGACACATTTTTATGTGAAGTTGGCTGCGCAATAAATAAAGTTTTAATCAAGGTTTAGTCATGTCTTATAGTGAATGGGCATCTTAAGTTTTTTTTAATGAAGAGATCTACAGCCAATCTGTCAGCAAAAGGATAATAGGAGCAGTATTCAGACTTTGGAGGAAGAAATAGTTTTTTTTAATAGAAAAGAATCAAAAATCAAGGTTGAGCAACATAAGAAAAATTTTTTTTGGCCATATCGCTAGGCTAGAACTAATGATATGGATATGGCTTCATCTTTAAAGCAGGGTATGTGTTATTTACACATGCATTTCAAGTCACACCAGTCCAAACCAGCTTTTTAGAGCTGGATCAAATCAATGCTGCTTTTATGGAAAATACTGTATACTAATGAGCCTTTTCCATGGCTATAGATTTATGTCTTAATAACAGGATTCTGTTCAAAGTTCACATTTTAAATACGTCCAGGAGATTTGACAAAAAAAGATTGCAATTTGAACTGACAAACTAATTATCATAGAATTTTGCACTGTTTTCCTTACGGCCTCTTGTATATAACTGAGATATACTTTTATTACTTTTATTTAAATATTTTATTTTTACTTGTACATATACATTTATATATTTATATTATCAGTCTCTTCCTATTTCTGCTAGTTATTTAGAATTTATTAAAAAACTTATTATACTGTTATTATAATATGGTGTGAGCTACTTCCCTTGTGTATAATAACAAGTTATACACAAGGGAAACAAGTTTGTCTAAGTCTAATGCAAGAATCACATTTCAGAACATGTTTGTAGAGAGCTGAACTACAAGGTTAGCTTTTATTTATTTATTTTGTTGTTTGTGAAGGAAATGATGGCACTTCAACAACTGCAGCCTTTGTGATTTACTTATTGCATCCGTTCGAAGTGTGACTTTGATTTAATTGCGATTAGTATGGCAGCCCTACTAAAAGACATCACTATTATTTTACTGAGATTAATCAATGAATCAGTGGATGTGGTTACAAGTTCACCAAAATCTGATTGATATCTGATTTCTAAACATTTAAAATGACTTAAGGGACATGCAAACTGAACAATTTGCAGCAAGCAATCAGAGGGACCATGATCAGAAATAAAACACAGATGATTTTGCTGTTTAAATGTAATTTCAATAAACTTTCAGATCCAATAATCTGATAATAATCTGATTTTGAGTGTCCATGTCACTGCAGCTAATGATAATCTTATCATAGTGCATGTGAGCATACTGGCTTAATGTCGCGATGCAGGAAGCCCACAGAGTGAATGCTCTCGATGGCCTCCAGGATCTGCTTGCCCAGGCGCAGCGTGGTCGACACAGAGAAGGTACCTCGGGCCATGGTCCTGCGCAGGTCGGCCAGGTTCCTCCCCTTCACACGAGACACACAAACACTCAGCAGATGGTCAGCTTGTTCACACACACGCAACACACACGCAACACACACGCAACACACACGCAACACACACACACACACACACACACACACACACGGTCTACCTGCAGCTCCATCACCACGTAGTTAAAGCGGTCATTTCGGCCACAGCCCACAAAGCGACACACGTGGTCCTTACCTAAAAACAACACAGAATATATTTGTTTTTATGTTAATAACACAAAAGAAATCAAAAGTATTACTGGTATATGTACAATGCATTTTAGGGTACACTCATGCTAGGGGTGAGACGTTCCACAAGGTAAAATAAGATGAGATGAGAGTAGACGAGATAGTGACAATATTTATAATACATACATTCAATTTTGCAGTTCAAAAGAGAAAAACACTTCTGAAAAAAAAAAAAAAAAAGAAAAAAACACTTTTTCACATATGCACAATTTTGTCTCGTGAGATCTTGGTGTCAGGAGATCTTGTCAATCCCTAATTCACCCTTCTCCAGGTTTGGTCTTCACATTTAAGCTTTTCTTGTACAAAGATGTGTACTCTGGAATGTCCTGACAGGCAGATTAACAAATTAGAGAAAGGAAAGGCTCAATCATGTCAAAACAAACTTGGCGGTTTATGAATAAAAAAAATTAACATTCTGAAACAAACATTTAGCGGATAATTCAGACTTGTGTCAAGACAAGACACTTTGAACATGCCTAGCACATCGGGAGCAGTCAAAATTAAACCCAAACCTAAGAGTCTCTGGAGCCAAGCCCCCCACAGCTGTGGCTAATCAGTGAACAATAGTTGTCTGATTTCCTTTGTCCTCGTGGTCCTCAGATTAGACTCACCCTGGAGCTTTTTGAGCACAGCCTCCTCCATCTTGAGCACCTGTTTGGGCTGCTGCGCCGACTCCACTTTCAGAGCCACTGTCGCCTGGCTCAGCTGGTCCAGCACCTCGTAGATCTCCCCAAAACCCCCTCCGCCAATCTTCCTTATCTAGGGAACACAACACACACACTCATTTAGAACATGCTCTGGTTTGATTTGAAAAATGAAACTGGACCAACTGAGAGGTTTAATATGACTGATAATAATGTGTTGGGCATTAGCTAATAATTCTGTACTCAAGTTAAATCTTCCATATTTATAGCAAATTAAAAAGTGTGTGCAATTAAAGCTTGGAATGTATGCATAGTGTGGAAAAGTGTTTCATGTGAAAATCAAATTCCACTTTAAACAAAGTTGCCATTCAACCCTTGAGGAGATGCATAACTTCATTTTGTGCCCCAGTGCAATCTGCATGTGTGTGAATGTGTGTGAGTGTGATGCGTGTGATGTGTGAGCCCTGTGTGCTGTGTGTGTGTGAAGCTACAGCTGCTGACAGCTGGCAATCAGACAGGAGCATCAGCACCGAGAGCACAAGGCTGCAGAGGACATTAAGCGTTAGCAGTGTTCTTATACAGTTACAAAGGGCACAGACACTAGACACAGGGACAGTAACATCAGTTTATGCAGAGCTCGGAGGTGAAAACAGCCTCAAGTGTGTGAATTAAACCGTCAACAGTGTACTGGCCATGTAAGTGCTGACAAAGCAACAAAATACAGTGTCCACCAAATCTAGACCATTAAAGCAACACCATTTCGGTTTCTGGGCAAGGTACATAATGATTTCATTGAAAAAAATCAGTGGAAAGTCAAAACTATACATCATCATTTTAACACCACATTGATTTTAATGATCAAAAGAACAACATTTCCATGGAGCTAAGACTCTCCTCCAGGCCAAATAAGAGTCAGGTTTGTGGCGATGCATGCCTGGACATTTCTATTTCCTACATTTTTCAGTGCAATAAAAAAAAACGTAAAATGAAAACACATGCTTTTACATTAGTCTATATTGTGGCTGAAAAGTTATGCAGCCTCGCTTTAACTTGTGAACTTATTGTACATTAGAGTGTAAAAAAATAAAAAAATCAATCAAGAAACTACTTATCATTGTCGAAAACACATGACACTGCACGGAGACCACAGACTGTACACAAGCCAGGTCAATGATGCAAAGAATGTGAAATAAATTGCCTAATTATTACATTTCAAAACTAAGCTTGTGGATAGTGAAACAGCTAATACAAGGCTACAATGCTGCGAATGCCAAAAGTGCTTTTACATATTGGTATGGCTCAAATAGACATCTTATTACGTTATCTGCACAATTATGTAATAGACTAGCGTTACCAAACTTCTAGAGATCGCCTAGATTACTGCACCTACTCAAGACACAGTCCACTCTTCCAGGCATACTTTTACGAATCTATAATCTCCAATAATTATTATTTGAGCCTAGTGTACCTGTCACTGCTGCAGACACGATGAGAGCCATGTATTCACTGGAGCCATACTAAATGTTGGCTAGTTACGGTTCGTCTCCAAGGCTGCGATCGGGACGCTAAACACTCCCCGTCCTTAGGTCATCGCCAGGCGGGGTTGTTTGGCTTTCCGCCCGTTGCCAGAGCTCCACGGTTCCCCGGTGAAGCGAGAGTTCACGGTGGCGAGGAGTAAAGGATGCTAATCAGCTTTGAGAGGGCTAATCTGGCTAACTAACCTCTTAGTAGCAGCGCTGCGGCGGGAGATGCTGCAGCTGCGGGGGCTACGCTCACCAAGCTAACCCGCTAGCGTGTTTACAGTCGGATAACGTAGCTCCGCGCTTACCTCGTCGGGTTAAACTATTCCGTTTACGATAGCAGTGGAGGAAACGAGCAGCCTCCATGGTCCGGATGTGTTTTGGTGGTTTATTCCATGTTGCTCTGCGGGATGGAGCAGTGCTAGAGGGGCATGGCTACGTGTGGCTAACGCTAATTGCTAATGGATGGGGGCTCCGTGCGTTTCTGCCACTATGACGTCACGGCGAACCTGGCTGCTTATTGGCCCGCGTGGTTCTGCATCCTCAGCCCTGGGTCTGCAGGGACTGTGGGCCGTGGACAGTGTTGGGGAGTAACAGATTACATGTACGTAATCAGAGTACAAATTATGAGTAACTGTATTCGGTTACAGTTACTGTTTCAGTGAGTGGTAATTAGATTACAGTTACTTTGTTTGAAATAAATGGATTACACGGCGGTATTTTCCTGTTTTCCTGTTTTCACATTTTGAGCTATATCTTTCTTTTTTTCCTGTAATTCCACTCATTGCCGAAACTAAACCAGGTCTAAACCAGGACTAAACCACGACTAAAACCAGGTCTAAACTAGGAAAACCAGACTAAAACCCACTAAACAGGTCTAAAACAGGTCTAAAACCAGGTCTAGACCAGGACTAAACCAGGTCTAAAACAGGTCTAAAACCAGGTCTAGACCAGGACTAAACCAGGATTAAAACCAGGCCTAAACAGGACTAAAACAGGATTTAACATGCTGTGCTGTGTGGATGTGTCTCTTCGTTCTTCTCAATAATATTTAAAAATTTGGTTCAGTAAAGTCTGGTCTTTTTATTTTCTTTTAGCAGACAAAACATCTTATGTGAAGATTTCCTCGTCTGCTTCTCTACAGCCAATCAAGTAATCCAAAGTATTCAGATTACGTTACTCACTTTAAGTAATTTAATGGATTACTTTACAGATTACATTTTGGGGTATGTAATCTGTAATCTGTAGGGGAATACATTTTAAAAGTAACCTTCCCAACACTGGCCATGGAGCTGTAGATCTGTGCGGGGACACGCGAGAGAATCAGAAAAAAAAGTTTTATTGCTAGTGTTAGTGAACAGAATTCATAAAGTAGGAATTTTAGCGAGATGGTACACTGAAAAAACGGTCCGAGAGGGGTTGCTCAAATTGCAAAAACAAATTTGACAACAATAACATCACTTTTTTACATTTCTCTGTCCAGCATGTTTAAATCTTACAAACATCGCTTGATTGTGGCCGATGTGAGACCTGCATGTTTTAATCAGGTTGAGGAAACATGACTTTATTATAATTTCTGGTGAGGCTCCTCCCTCTGGAATTCTCCTCCCCAAAACCTTTGGAGGGAAAATTCAAATGTAACAGGACACAGGACAGTTAGATGAGCAGAGGACACACAGTGTGGAGCAGGAGGATTATGAGAACTGATCTGGAGGTAAGACTTTTCAAAGATTTTATTATGTGCTTCTCCGGCCTAGAATGTCGTCATTGTTAAAACATGTTTGTGGTGTTTTATTTGAAATTAGAGTTAATGTAAGGACAGCTTGAAACAAATTGTTTTTAACTGTCCATCTACAAGAGTGTGACAGTTGTACTAAGATTTGAATGTGTTGCTTCCAGAGTCGTCTACAAAGAGTGACGTCCAGAGCTCTGCTGTAGCTATGGGGAAGTTCATGAATGTTATAGTTGATGTTTCAGAAAAAAGGAAGATGTTTGAGAACCAACAAAACACAGACCACAGATGAACAAAGTAAGTAAACCAACTTAAAATTATTTTAAAATTTTTCGAAATGAACTTCCTATTGAAACTGTTATCTTGTGTACTTGTACAAGGTGATGTGGCATTAGGAGGACTTTTATACCAGATGCCCTCCTGTTTTACTGTGTGTTTAGAGGAAGAATAAGCATGCACATGAATGTGATGTGTTTTGTGTGTGCAGATTCTTGTGTTAAACAATACAGATCAGATCTGTAGAAAACTAAAGACTGTTTTTGTATTCTTTTACAGAATTAGATCAATTGAATTACATTATACATACTTATACATTTCATGATAAGGTACCATAAGATAAATATGCATATTCAGCATGATTTGTTCAAATTTCATCAACATGAAAAAGTGATGTTCATGTTCCAAGAAAAATATGTGTAGAGGGGTTCAAAAAAGTTTCAAAGCCTAAACATAATTTTATTGCGTGCAACCGCTGTCCATAACTTTTTTACGCAAATCCAGCAACCTTTTTTTTTCAGTGTACAACATAAAACATTGGATATTACTTAATAAACTATAAACTTTATTGATCCACAAGGGAAATGATTTGGACACGTTAGCTCCATGGAGCTATTAGAATAATGAGTAGTTCATACATCACAATATAATATAATAACAAAGAGCAAAAATATAAATGGTAATAATAATTTCTAAATCCTAGTCCTATTGCACTGATTCTTACTGCATCTTTAGCAAGGTGCTTGAGTTGATAAAAAATGAGTATTGCACATGTGCATCTTGTTCACATGATTGCAAATTTGTACAGTCTTGATACGGGTTAGGTTACAGACTATAACACAAAGAGGACCACATGCTTGTATTCAGTAGTTATAGCCTGTGTGATGCCACATGTCAGAAAACAGTCCTGGTCTTGTTGGCCTAATTACTGGGCTTATTCACATAAAACAAACTTGAGCATAAAGTTATCAGTCAGCACAAACTTGTCATGATAGGCCTAACATTTTCTGTGATCTGGTCCCACATTTGTGTTTGCTCTCACTGACTTTGTGCCTTCCGTCTGTGCATCAGGGGAACAGTTCATATATTCATTTAGGTTTCAGTTTTTCTCCATACTAGAGTCCCTCCACTGCATCTTCATCCCCTGCTCCATCTGATCCTCTCCTCTGCTCAATAAAAGCACCATTAATTAAAGAAATGCAAGATACATATTTAATGCCTTACTGTGGGACATTTGGGCATTTTTAATGCAGGTATTTCATATTTTGACATACACTTCATATGTTTAACTGCCATAATAAGGAGTAACATCACTGAAGCACTGTGGAAACGTGGCTATTATTACGCCACTTCATTCACCACCTCAGCCCACTCAGTCAAATGTAACCATACCAACAGCCCACTGACACACTGGCGCTCTGAACTGACATTTGGCGCTTGTGTCAGCTGCGTAACTAACCCCGCCCCCCCAGAACAACAGCGTGGATGAACCAAGCGCACACGGATACAGTGACAGGAGTGGCCCGTCATCAGGATTGGATAACAGGATGTGAGTTGAGCTGTTTTGGGGTGAGGCGGTGCGTTTGGGGGGCACTCACAACTTCTTGGATAGATTTCTTGCGCAGTTCCTTTACCGACTGCAACTAACCGACTGCACATATTCGGGGATTGCATCGGGCGTGTATCGGGCGAGTGGTGTTGGAGATTTGCGTAAACGGCCAGATCTGTGGCAGTGACGCACGGTCTGGGAGTCGCTGATGTGGGAAGAAAGTTGTGGACATGTTTTACTGGAAGCGCAAGGTTTTACGGACACGGCGTGCAAAAATCTAACTGCGCATTCAACCTTTCCACCGTGCACAACGACTTTGGATTATTTTTGGTTTGTCCGCTCGTAAAACTCCGCTCTTCTGCTTCCACTTCGCCATGTTGTCGCACTTTGAAACTCGATAGAAAGTTGACAGGGGAGCGCTGACATACATGGAGTCTAGTTCGGACGCGGTTGGAGAGTGTTTTCCACTGAGGTTTTACGCGCAGAGCTCCGTGCACCGCCGACCAGGTACGGGCTGTCACTCTGCGGGCTCTACCCCCCTCGCGCACGGCAGCACTACTCACAGTTATTGCTTCCTTATTGCCGCTGGTTCTCATACATAGCGCAAGTGGCTAAAGTGCTCTTTGCACGAGCCCCTTCGTTTCCTGTATTTCTAGTTTTGCCAAATGGCAGCTCCACTGTGCGCGGCACTTTCCTCTGTTCACTTTTAAATAGCCTGTCTTTACCGTAAGCAGCGCCTATTACAGATAATTATGCGTTTACTAATGCACAACACCAACACTTGCACTAAATAAGACTTTATAGGTCTACTAGTATGATATTTAACTATACAGCGTGCAAGCCTAAGTAATTAAACCGACTAAAATTAGCTATCAGTTTATACACACATAATGTTAAGTGTACATTTGTAAATTACCAAGATAGTCAATGCATTGAGCATTTATTCAAGACAAATCCAGGAAAACAGTCACACTAAATCTGGATGTCCACGAGCAGACAGGACTAAATAATTAAAGATGCTCTATGTAACTTTTAGGGTAGAGGGTCCGCTGTCAGCTTGTCTCCATGGATATGTTGTTATTTTGTCTCAAATGGGTGTCAAACCATCTTATTTTGCAATTATTAAATACATGTTTTATTGCTCAAAAATATCCCTAAAAACTGTTGGCGGGGTTGCCTCTCCACAGACCTGACCTGTAACCTGGCCTGATGGTGTCATTTGTTTGTCTCCATGGAGATTTTGTCTGGAATGTTCCACAGTATGGTATTAAACTTCTCTCTCCTTAGAAACAAGCAAGTGATGCCACCAAGCCAAGTTAGTTCTGTGGAAAAAACTGCTATCCTTAAAAGAGTGTCATATCATGGACATGAGCAGATGGTAACCAAACACCAGAAAACTTACATAGTGCAGCTTTAAATTCAAGCTATTAGAAACACACAAGCTCTCCTAATTGTAATACGGGTATTAAAGAAAGACATGTTTCACAATCAGTGGCTCACACCCCCCAGTTTGAGAATCTCGTTAACAATGCAATAAAGCACTTTTATTTTACCATTAGGAATTCCAATGCCGCATCCAATAAAGCTTCAGTGGGGCTATGAATAGTAGGCCTATATTTTCATTATTATAGTGCAAACACTTAAACTGTGTGGGCATTGGGAAGGAACAACATGTATATAAAATATATTTTAAAAATATTTAAAAATATTATAGCTGCCATTTTGTTTTGTAGGCCATAGTTGTTGTATTACTCAAAGACATTCTTAGCTGTGGTTTGGACTAACTCCGTACTGTGTTCCTGAAGGGATCTTTGCTGTAGCGATGACCATGGAGACAGACATCTGCACTGCCTTCTGACTGGACCAACTTGGTTGAACTTTATTCTCCCTCAGATGCTATAAAACTCCTCCTATTTCCTCTACAACACGTCTCGCCTCATCTCCCCAATCCGGATTTTTCGCGAGCTCCATTTGATAACTATGAGCCTCCCTTCTCAAGTCAACAAGCCACCAAAGCACAGGACTGCCACCATGAAGGAACCAGCACACCAAAGCGACAGCTTCTACAGCATGGCTCCTCCTGCTCTGGATCCCAGCCACACAGACTTGAACACTGGGGCATCTGGGTTGTACCATGCGGAAAAAACGGCGCAAAATTTGGGACATTACCAACAGCAGCCCGCTCAGGTGAAGTGGATGCAGCAGGAGGCCATGCAAGGATCTGGTTGGACCCAGGAACCCCAGCTTACCGGGTGGAGTCAAAACTTTACTGGCTACATGGGTGGAGTCAATGTGAGGGGGCAGTTGTTTCATAAAGAAATGCGCGAAGGAGTTTCTATGACAACGGAAAACCAAATGCAAGATGTTTTTAGGGACAATACGCAATGGGAGCAAATGCACCAGATCCAAAGTTATCAACAGCAGCAGCAGCAGCAGCAGCAGCAGCAGCAGCAACAGCAGCAGCAGCAGCAGCAGCCAGTGCATACTACATTACCAGCACAGATGCTGCAGCCATTCCAGACTTTTCGGCAGAGTAAACCACAGCAGGCGCAGTTCAACCCGGGATACTACACAGGGTTTCAGCAGAGTAAGACCATGCAAAGTTTGGGTTACCCTGAGCAACCGAAACAACAACATCAACCACTCATTCATCAGTTTCAGCAGCAGCAGCAACAAATGCACAACCAGCAGCAGCAGCAGATACAAATGCAGCAAATTCAACAACATCAGATGCAAATGCGGCAATATCAACAACAACAACAACAGCAGTGCATGCAAGAGAGACACATGCAGCCTAGCCAACAGGTTGGCCAACCGAATATTCAGCAGAACATGCAACAAGTTGAGTCAAAGCAACAGTTTGTCAGATACCAAGGTCAACAAGAACCCAAAAAGGAGGAGAACACTGAGCAACCACGGCTAGATACGTCTGTGAAGGACGTGGTGATAGATAAAGTGCCCGAAAATGTTCTCAGTACAGCTACGGCTGCCCAGCCAAGAAGGTCTAGGAGGCTGTCCAGAGAGGGGCATTCGCCGACCGCAGAGATGCCCCAGAACGGAGTTGGCACAACGGGGCAGAGGGCAGGAGCAGAGGGCCAGGGGGGGACCGGAGGTAGGCCTGCTACGATAATTACTATATTATTATATTTGGGGCTCAGAATGTATCATGTGTATACTTTCTTGGTGTATTTTTTTGTTTTAATAGAATAAGATTTGAGCTGTAAACATTTAAATAAGTGACTGGTTAAAAAGCAAATTATTGGTTCAGTCTGTGATTTATTAGTTGCAGCTCAGGCCTTTTAATGATACTGTCTAATAATGGTTTACTGGTATTGTCTTGCATTATTATCATTATTATGTAAGTGGCTAAAAGTAGTTTCATTATCATTTATTGCAATACTTCTTTGTATTCATTTATCACACTTCAAAATGTGTTGTGGTGACAGGGCTAACTGGAGGGGTGATCCAGAGCACCCGCAGGAGGAGGAGGGCATCCAAGGAGATCAACCTGGAGACACTGGCACAGCAGGCAGCCAAGAGGGAGTCTCTGCCTGCTAAAGTAAAGGTGAGAGCGGGGTGGATGCTAGCATGGATTTACGAATGTGTTAATAATAACTATGGATAAACTATTTGGGGAAAAAAGATTTATGTGTTTATGTGTTCTGTTCATAGAGGAAGTATTTTGCTTGAGCGTATTAACTGCTAACACATTGATGTTACCTTTTGTTGTTTTGAACATGCTATATTAGAAAACAATGTATTAACATGCTCTGAGTCCCTTTGCTCCCCTTGCTAACTCACTCCCCCTTCAGTGCACTCACAACACCTTAGTGTGCATCCAGCGAATCAAGTTGCTGTTGTATCATGCTTTTGTATATTTATGGAGAATTGTCGCGCAGGAGCAGGCCTGTGGGTGGAGCCTTGTACAAAACCTTACAGCTAACTGTACGGAAGGTTAGAAACATTTTAACTACAGGGTTAGCATTTTTAAACAGAATAAGTCAGAATACTTTTACTGTTTGTGGAGGAAACTGTGGTACTTCAAAAATTGCGATTTGCTAACTTAGTCCATTGAAATTTTGATTCAATTGCATTTAATCTTGCAGCCCTAATAATAACTATGCCATGTTTGGCCAGAACACCAGGCCTTTTTGCTGTCATGGTAAAGCTAACAACAACTAGCATGATGCAGACAGTACAAAGTGGACTTAGTTTGACCTCAAGAGCTGCTTGTACGATATGACTGTACTGGAACAAGGCATACACTACAGTCACAGGTTTGGATACACCCACTCAATACTTACTCATTCAATGCTTTTTTTTTCTTTCTTTATGTTTACAACTTTCTACATTTGCTGACATATGGAAAACATCTAATATATGATGTAAGATGTATGGAATTATGTAGCAAAAAAAAAAAGTTAAATAATTTTATGAAATATGTTTTATATTTTGTATTCAAATCCTCACTGTATCCAGGCTTTGCTGTGTGGACAGTGCTGTTAACCCTTGACCTTCTCTCAATGAGCTTCATGGTGAAGTCTCTGAAATGGTTTGCACTTCACAGCTGTGCCATGCCAAGGTCAAATAATGCCAAAAGTGCAAACCAAGCAGAGGGTGGCTATTTTTATGTTCTAAAAAAAGTTCTGAATTATTTTGAGGTTTTTTTTTTTTTTTTTTTTGCTACATTCCAGATGAGTTATTCATAGTTTTGATGCTTTCAATTAGAATCTACACTGCAAATAATCATGGAAATAAAGACGAAAAATAACTGACTGACTGGTAGTGTATTTTGCTCAAATGCAAAATGTTCAAAATCAGAATAGTGCCTAGTCACAGCTTTAGATGAGTCAACAGAGATAGTCATGAGGAAACAAAACCCAAACCAGCATCCACTATGTGTCAAATACCTGTTTTCCCAACTGACAATGCACTGTTGAAATTTGATAACAACCACTCCATCAATAAAATCTATTGACTTTCTATTGACTCTAGCAGCTCAGTTCAAAGACCATCTAACAACAGGATTCCCTTTGCACTGTGGTACATGTAACTATAGCACAGAATCTGGCTCTGTAAGCGTGCATCTTTTAGGCACAGTTGGTGTTGGAGGAAGACTCAGATCCTTCTCTATTGTGGCAGGCTGTTATGTAATTATCCTCAAGAGCACATTTATATAAGCACATTATGAACACCGATGTTAGCCTACCAAAATGACCAGGAGATGGACTCTCTTAAATTAGAATTGCTGGTTTTCAGATGACATCACACCATTCTAAGCCAATAATACTTAATGCAGGCAACTAAAATGAATCGAATGAGTTTAAATGAAGCTTTATGCGGTGTAATACAGTGAGTTTTTGGGTCTAGTTAATAATAGAAATGTTTGAGTTTATCTTTTGTGAATTTATTTGTTAGATACTTGGCAGAGTCCATTATGCAGCTGATGTCAATGTCATCAACATTCTCTGGGGGTGTGATGCAGTTAGACAAAGCAGTGCCTAGTAGTAGTAGTAGTAGTAGTAGTAGTAGTAGTAGTAGTAGTAGTAGTAGTAGTAGTAGTAGTAGTAGTAGTAGTGATCTGTCTGGGGCTTTGTCTGAACTTTATATTAACACAATTTGACCATAAAAAACTGTACCTGTAGAACAAGTGAGCTGATTTGTGCTGTTAAATAGGTCTCTTTCAAATAACATTACAGTCACAAGCTAGTTTTTCAGTTAGTCACTCTCACGTGAAGAAAAAAAAAAAAAAACCTAAACAGGACCATGAATGCTCATACTGATCACAGGCTCCTGAAAATGTGTTGGTTAAATCTATCTTAAGATATATTTGGCTGTGTTTCCTAATGTGTACATCACTGCTGAACATTCTGCCATAGACATGCATACAGTCCCCTCAGCATGATGTCTCTGCAAAGTATCAGTGTAATCAACAGGGAAATCTGGCTGTTGCCCACATCTGGGACTAAAAACTGTTCAGTACACAACAAGTACACTATGAACAAAGGGGAAGGGGCAAATTTAACTGGATTTATTAAAAAATGTGAAAACCACCAGTACTAAAAGTGTAACTCCATTTAGAAACCAAAATGTAAAGCTGCAGGAACAGGAAGTGGACAATATATGGTCATAAAATGTATCCATTGTTCACTTATACAAATCAACTTCTATGTTCTTTAAAGTCCATTTACATTAAATCATAGTATGGAACTTTTAGATTCAAATTTATGAATATTTGTTTTTGTTGTTTAATTTTGTTTGCATTCATTGCACTTGGGTGGAAAAAACATGCATGTTTACTGTGAGTGGATTTGCATCTCCACAAACCTCACTCTTATTTAGCTTGGAGGAGAAATAGCACTTATTGTTGTACTTAACAAACTTTGTGAGATTACATCTAGTCCATATACACACTATGAGCCTCATAGTGTGTATATGGACTAGATGTCTGCTACTACAGTCTGCTCTGATTTTGCACATTTCTGGTGTAGGGTGCAACACTTGCTTTGCTTTACCTGGAATGTTCCACAGTATGGCACTGAACTTATCTATCTCCATGCCAACAAGCAGGTGGTATCATCAGGCCAAATTACAGGTCAGATTAAGTCAGAATCTAGGTTCTCATTTGCCCTGGTTTGCTCCTGTTCTAGTCCAGGTTAAATCTAGCTGTAAGTGCCAGTTTAGTGCAGATTTTTGATATGGTATGTGAAGCGAACACACCCACAAATAGTACTTCAAATACTTCTGTAGTTATAACTTCCTGTAATACTTCTAATGCTAATGGTTTTACTGCTGTTACTCTAGACACTTAAAATGCAAAAATGATTATGTTAATGACCTCACAAATGAGCATCATTCAAAAGCAGCGGGAGCCTCAGTGCAGCCTCTTCACTCACACAACAGAATGAATTTTTTAAACACCTTGTCTTCTGTTGTGGTATTCGGCATCTTGTGGCCTTTAGCACTACCTGTTGGCTGAGATGTGGCTTGTTCTGACTATAAGGCATGGCAAGACATCACAATTCAAATTCAAAATTCAATGTGCACTACGGGTCAAAGGGTTGGACACATCTTTTTTGTGTGTTTACTACTTTCTCCATGTTCAATACACTCAAAAAACATCAAATATAAGAAGCATATGTTTGGATGTGTGTAGCACTTCTATTCAAATGCTCAAAGTATCCACCCTTTGCTTTGCTGACGTGCTGCAAAATCCTTGGTCTTCTTTCAATGATATTGATAAAATCTCCTGAAATGGTTTTCACTTGATTTCTTAGGGTCAAAAAATGCCAATTATCAAATGCAGTGATCAAAGCAAAGGTTAAAGGCTATTAAAAAAATCTAAACAAGTTATTTTGAGGATATTTTTGTTTCCTATATCCATATGTCCATTCATAACTTTGATGCCTTCAGTGAGAATTCAGTGAGAGTGTAAATAATCATGTGAATAAAGGAGAAATATGAATGAAAAAGTGCATCCAAATTTTGGCTGGTGGTGTATTATTGCATCTAAAGCAGCGGTTTTCAATAGGTGAGGCCCGCCTCCACTAGGAGGCGCCAAAGAGCCACTGGGGAGGCACGACACACACTGACTAAACCAGGACTAAACCAGGACTGAACCAGGACTAAACCAGGACTAAACCAGGACTAAATCAGGACTGATCCCAGGACTGAACCAGGACTAAACCAGGACTAAACCAGGACTGACTCAGGACTGAATCAGGACTGAGTGTTGGGACGGGCCTGAAGGTGCATCGAGGCAGACTGTCGGGTGACCACGTGCAAAAGGACTGGCACAGCTGTTGTCCGATCGAGCCCATGGAACAGGGTGTCCACAAAGTGCGGAGTTCTCGCTCTCTCTCTCTCTCTCATCTTAGATTAATCCTGGTCTAGTCCTGGTCTAGTCCTGGTCTAGTCCTGGTCTAGTCCTGGTCTAGTCCTGGTTTAGTCCTGGTCTAGTCCTGGTTTAGTCCTGGTCTAGTCCTGTTCTAGTCCTGGTCTAGTCCTGTTCTAGTCCTGGTCTAGTCCTGGTTTAGTCCTGGTTTAATCCTGGTCTAGTCCTGGTCTATTTCTGGTGATCTACTGATGTTCAGTGATGTTAAAAGTAGCCTCAATTAGACCTGCATGAAGTTGGAAATTATTTGTTGTTGCAAAAATCATTAAAGTATGCACTTAAAAAAAAAAAGAAAATACAATATGAAAAGGTATGGACTAAAGAAAACTGATGATATATGTATTGTGACCCATTTTAGCCACACTATTCAAGCACTACACTAGGCAAGACAAGGCTATTGGTATAGCACAATGCATACACAAAATCATTCAAAATGCTGAATACAGCATACAGAATACAGAATATTAAAATCACAATACACATAAATAAAAACATTATCGGTTTAAAATCCAATAGAAGAGTGCAGAATAAAATCCTTACAGGGGTACTCAGCTAAACAGAAGCCTTTGTAGCGTGGATTTAAACACTGTCAAAGTAAAGACACTATTCCATAACAATGTTGAAATTCCATGTTGATAATATTATTATATTAGCAGACTCTCTAGATCAGTATCAGTGTGTATGATACTGATCTAGAGGGTCTACTTGCTGCATGTTGTGGTGGGCAGAGACTGGCAGCCACATATCTGCTGATGCAGCATTTCTCATCTCAAATTGTGTCTATGCATTTAGAAATTTACAATCTCAATGTCAATCACGGCTTTATTTAGTTACAAAAAATAAAAATAAAAAATATCACATGCTCGTATTGCCCAACACAAAACCTGGAGCAGAGCCAGTCTTTGAATCCATTAATCTTATTGACAGTTTACTCCACTCATTTTACCACAAAACGTTATTATTTTATTTAAGATTTTACATGGTTCGAAATCATGACATCATGCTAGGGAATTCCATTATTGTTACCTACAACCCTGTCGTACACTGGGCCAAAACAAAAATTACGTATGTAACTGCGGTTCTATGAATCCCTCCTGACCGCCGTGCTGAAAAAACTGGATGACTAATACCAGCTATGTCACGAAGAATCCTGAGCACCTCACTGAAAAGAGCCCAGAGATTCATGAAGAACTACGCCAAGAGGATGAGGAGAGGCCACACTGACATTGTAGAACCTGGTAAACGTGCTTGGTACATATCGTCTCGAAAGAGACCCCTCTCATAGCAGCCCATGAAGTAGAGATGCCTCTAGTAGAATGGGCCCTCATACCAGATGGAGAGTTGCAATGCGCAGCACTGTAGACATGGTGAATGACCTCAACAACCCAGTATGAGGGGCACTGTCTGGAAAGAGGACATCCTTTCTTAGCACCCCCACAACGGGGAATCAAACCAAACCAAACTCAAGGGCTTGTTACAGTGAGAGCAGGACAACACGTTTGGCACAAATGCTGTGTTTGCCACAGGTGAGACCAGAGCCATCCAGACTCTAACAGAACAGAAAAGGCATGTAACTCACTGACACATTTTGCTGACACAATAGCTAATAAAAAAGCTGTCTTGCATGAGAGCCATTTGAGCCATTAGCAGGTAGAACACCAGTGAGAAAACTACTTCTACCTGTATCTATACTGCTGATGAGTGAAGGCCACTCTGGTGTTCAAGACCAATCACCTGCAGCTCTTCCTGCCAATGGCCACATCCACAGTTTGAGACATCAGATCTCTCCTGGCCAGAAGACGCCATGGGAGACCACAACAGACTGTAACAGAAGCAATGGAAACCACAGTTTTGCTGGCCAGTATGGGGCGACCAGCAGCAGTCTGTGGCCTTCGTGTAGAGCCCTCTGTAGGGCTGGCTGAATCAGAGGAAGAGGGGAGAAAGCATAGAAGAGGTACTATGGCCAAGTGTGTGCCAGTGCATCTTGTCCCAGAGAACCTGGCTCCCTCATGAGGGAGAACCATAGACAACAGTGAGTCAACTCCTCTGAGGCAAACTCCACCTCTGGGTAGAGACACCATTTCCCCGGAGGAGCTTCCCTTCAGGAAAGAGAATCCTTCACTTGATTTCTGTCTCCCAGTAAATACACTCCCTGCAGCCCGTGTTAACAGGTCTTGGGACACCCTGAAAAGTTATGCTGATCTGATGGCCCCCTGATGGTTGATGTGAACAGGGAATTTCCCAAAGACCAGCCCACGCACCAGAGTTGTACGCCTTGGTGATGAAGTTGTCTGTCACATAGCATTAGGGTCGTGGACACCTGACATCTTGGTGCTGGCCTTCCTCAGGTGAGACAACGAGAGAAGCCACAGCTAGTTCAACAACAGGCATGTGATCCAGACCAGCTGTCATTGCATTGCAAAATCCGGCCATCTGACGAGAGCCTGGAGAAAGCACTTGGATCCCTCCAACAGGCATGCAACTCTCTGAGATACTCCACAGAGGGGGTACAGCAAAGGGCGCACAATCCAGAGCTCTGCACACATCTCACATGGAGCTATTGGTCGAGTCACCAACAAGGCTTTGTGTGGAAGAATACGAACCATCATCAGAAACACGCAAAGACGGTGCCTCCTCTTCATCCCAAAAATGAGAAGCAGATGGTATCAGAGAGAGTATTGCATGTGAAAAGAAATGAGGAACAGAGTCATGGATGACAAGGATTACCTCTGTGACATCATCCTGGGTCACAGGTGTGACTCAATTTGTATTACTACTCGAACTGCGCATCTGTGGAGGGAACATTCAGTGCTTTCAGCACTACCCTCTGGTGGTCAGGAGGGATGAAATAGAACTACTTTAATGTACAAAATTCAAAAAAATGTATATTTGACTAATTGCTGAAATCATACTGATATGGTATAAGATGTGATGTAAAACGTCCTGTAACTTCCTGTAAATTTCCTGTAAAATTGTATTTTTCAGCTTTTTTCACAAATTGCTTCTTAATGTTGTGTAACACTAAAAGTAATCTGGTGATATTGTACCTTGTTTGTGTATTAGTGGGTGAGTGTGCTGTGTTTGTGTGTGTTTGTGTGTGTGTTGTGTTTGTGTGTGTGTCTGTGTTTGTGTTTGTGTGTGTTGTGTGCATGGTTGTCTGTTGTGTGTGTGTGTTTGTGTGTGTTTGTGTGTGATGTGGAGACTGGCCCGACCTGAAAGTCCTCTCTCTCTCTGATGTGTGTGAGTAAGCTGAGCCATGTAGCCTCCTTCTTGAGCCTGACACATTTACTCTGGAGCTGCTGGTGCTTCTGCAACTCACACATGCTGTACCCATGCTGAACCTACTGCCCCGGAAGTCCACTTTGTTTTCATTTTTTGAAAATTGTTAAGATTAAAGGAACCATATGTAAGATTTAGTATTTTAAAATATGTACATTTATTTATAATAAATTATAAATAAATGTATAATTTATAAACTGTGTCCCCAGATACTGTATAAGGCATGTTCAAATCAAATAAAAATATTAACTGATTTATTGCAGTTGTAATGATCATGACCTCTCTCTGATGTGAAGGGTCACTAAACCCAGCCCCAGCCCTAGTCATGAGTCACTGTTAGTGCAGGCTCTGCAGCTCAGGGAGGGAATTTTGGAGGTTCTGAGCTTCACATGAGACCTGGCCTGTCCATAATCTGAGCATGAGGACAAGCTTGGATGTGTCCTCTACCTGAAGGTTAAGGCTCTCTTCATACAAGATTATGAACCATGACCACTGGACTGTATTGAATCCTGCTGATTAGCACTGCCACAATTAGTTGTGATATTTTAACTTCTGAAATAATGAACTAGTGATGACTCTTGTTAAGGTGCACTGTGTCTTTGTTGTGGTGGAGGATACCCTCCATTCATCTCCTGCTCACATTCCATGTAGATGTCAATACTCTTAGTACATGGAACACTCTCAGATGAGAGTCTCCTAATGCAGTGATATGAGCAGACTGACTCAGGTTTGACACACGTTCAGTGGATGCAGTCTGTGGCTGGAGTGTTCTCTGCATGTCTGCACACCTCCACATTCCTCTGCTCCACCAGGAGGCTGGAGCAGGGCGGGGCCAGGACACACGCACGCACACTCACACTCACCCCCAACATACACAGACGCACAAAGACACACACTTACCCCCAACACACACACACATACACATTAATAGTAATAATAATAATAATAATGCCTTGCACATGTTTTGCTTTTTACTGGCTTGTCACAGCTTCTCAAAGTGCTACACTCAGTGGTGGTAGGTTAGTTCAGAAGTGAGACTGCCAATCTGTGCCAGTCTCTGACCACCACCAATACTCACACATCACATTCATACGAGGCAAGGTGACAAGTATCTTGCCTAAAGTCACAACAACAGAACTTCTTCAAATCAAAATAATAATCCATAAATTACATTATTTATTTATTTAGCCTTTAAGAGCCTGAGTGAATAAGAGACAGCCAGTCAGAAAAATCTCTGAATCTATGCTGTGATTGGCTGATCTGGTTGCTACATGGATCTTCACCTTGAGCAAGCATGCAGCAAATACTCTTACTAATCACCCTACCTAATATTCAACATCCTAGAGCTTTTGTAATGCAACTTAATTCAAATGAGCAAAAATGCGTCACATGTGTACAATATCATTGTTGTTTCTCTTCTCTCTGCTCTTTCAGGCGGATGTCCCAGTGGGCAGGCAGTCCTCCATGGCCCCCCTGGTCATGCCCGTGTCAGTGCCCGTGCCCAGAGCCCAGGAGGCTGAGGGAGGCAGCAGTCTGGGCCGACCCAGGACCAGCGACCGTTATGGAAGTCAGAGCCTCCATAAAGCTTCGGTCATTGTGGCCAGAAGACGCTCACTCAGGAACTCTGTCACAGAGAGCCCCATGCAGGTGAGCTAATGACTGACAGGTGGATGAGTTAAGGATATGCATGCCCTTAGAAATACACAAATCTGATTGGACGGTCATGTTTGAGCCTGACTCAGCATGTGAGGAGACTGATATCCCTTCATATAATCCTTCCATCAGTCTGTCAGTTGTGGCTACAGAAGCAACTTAGAACCACCAGTTGTCTTCTTCTGTTGTTGTCTTATGCTGAAAGAGTTTTGTCAACTATATCTCCTTTAGTTCATATTTGCCACTTACCAAAATTAAATAAGTCAGTAAAGATGTATAAATTTGAATGGATTTTTTTTTTCTTTCAGGATGGAGAGAATGACTCAGGGACAGATGAGGAGGGCAAGCCAAAACCTAAGCGTCGTCCTCGGCCTGAGCCTCTGATCATTCCCCCTCCTCGGCCCTCCTCGTTCATCGCCCCCTCTGTGTACTCCAGTATCACCCCGTATCAGTCCAACCTGCGCTCCCCTGTACGCCCGCTGGACCCTCCCCTGGTGCTGCCACCCTACACCCCCCCTCCCATCCTGTCCCCGCTCAGAGGGGGGTCGGGCCTCTACTTCTCTACCTTCCTGTCCAACATGGCGGCAGGGACACAGGTGCTGCCCCCTCAGGCCATGCCCAAGACTGCCACTGTCAGCCTGCTGCGCTTAGGTGAGTAACCTTCCACAAATCCACTTTTGTATAGCACATTTTCAAAAAGTTATAAACACACAGTTTGATTTTATTAATCCTAAAACTAGAGATGTGCCAAAAATTTAAGATCAATGGATCACGATCTATACTTTGGTTGATCTCGAAGATAAGGCATTTTAACTAAGAGGTTCTCAGCCAGTCATGTGGCAGTAAGAGCGTGTGGTGCTGATAAGGAGTTACACTCTTGTTTAGGAAAAAGCAGCCTGTGCCACAGCACGTCTCTTTATGTCTCCTAATGTGTTAAGTTTTGACTTAAATCTCCTCAATTTGACTGAAAGTCCAGTGTCTCTTTCCCTCTGTGTCTGTGTGTGCATCTCTGTGTGCAGTGGCATCTGCCCCCATTTTCTCCTCTTTCTCTCCTCTGGTGCTTCTGATCTTTATAATCCAAGTCAGAGAAAGTAAGCGACTATTTTCTCATGGTTTAGCTGTAGCGCGCAGCTGCATGTGTTTCTGCCACTAAGGAAATGCATGCTTACATTAAGATTTAAACTCATTCCAACCTTTAAATGTGAATATCTCCGGTATTATTGTTCTTATAAACACAAAATAGAAAACTGTAGTTATCCTGACACACTGCTCTTTATGACGGAAGTCTATGGAGTAAGAAAGCTGTCAAAAATATTCGTGCGCATAAAATAGAAATCCCTGCGTATTTGGGAAATCCGTGCATATTTGGCTGTAGTTGCGCATAAAATAAATATTTGTAAACTCTCAAATGAGTCCAGTCGTACATAAAATATATTGTGTGTATTTTATCAATCAGAATACGAATTGAAAAATTATGACGTCATGAATTACAATCACGAAATGAAAATTTACGATTACGCTGAAGACTGACTGATGCTCGCTGTGGCTGTAGCCGTGAATGTTTTAATCTAAACATAGAGAGAACCTGATATTTGCTGATTAGCCCTGGGATAACGTTACGTCGGATGTTAGCCAACTGGCTACCACTATGTTATCTAACATATAGGTGCAATTTCCCGTTCAAAGGAGGTGTTTCTACACAATATTATACAGCAGCGTTCAGTTCCCGAATCCAAGACATTTTTACAATAGATTTTAATTAACCCACTTGTTGGTCGTTGTTGTAGCTTCTTGTGCTATTACTCTGTTTTTACCCTCTGCTACAAACTTGAGCATGTGCAGTCTTGATCTTGATCGATGTTTCTTCTGCTCGATGAATAATGTCTGTGAAGTGATGACGTATTTTTGACAGTAAAGTTCCGTCTGTGAATTCGTATTCGTACTGATGAAAGTGTAATCGTAAATTTTCATTTCTTGATTGTAGTTTACAAATATTTATTTTATGCGCAACTACAGCCAAATATGCACGGATTTCCCAAATACGCACGGATTTCTATTTTATGCGCACGAATATTTTTGACAGCTTTCTTACTCCATAGAAGTCCACATGTCTGTGTTTTCAGTAAGATGGAAGAAGATCGAATCTAAAATTGAGGTTGATCAATATGAGGGAAAAAAAGTGATTTTTTTTTTTTTTCCATATCGCTCAGCCATACCTAAAACAATAAAAAAAGCAAAAAAAGTAAAACCATGAAACCATAAAATAGCAACAAATTAGTTTTAAAAAGGTAAATAAATAAAAGCATTTGACAAATATTTATATTGTTATTTGTTAAAGGGCCCATATTCTGCGTATATTTCCCTGTGTTGTTTCCTCATTAGAAACATACCTGTTTGTGTTTTGTTTCATTCACACATGTTTAACACAAATCCTGCACATTTAGGCTGAGTTCGTCTCTCAAACAGAAAATACTCTTTTCCACCATGCCATGTCATGTGGTTGTACGGGAAGTGCTCCACTGTGTTTTTAAACTGCACACGCCTTGAATGGCCAATCTCTACTGAACAAATGGTAAAAGGTGTTCACTTGAAAAAAAAATAACTACCACTACATGACATCACAAGGTGAAACAGGACATTTTGAGCTTTGGGGATGTAGACAGTTTCAAATACATGTGAATGAAACAAAACACAACTCCAGGTCTGTTTTAAGGAGGTAACAGCATTCTAACATGGCTGAAAGCTCACAAGAATCAATTTGACTGTTTACATAGATTTTTTGGGTATTCTATTTCTATGTTTTCCTCAGCATTCAAACAATTTCTAAAAATATATATAATAAAAAATAACTTAATGTAAAACTTACATCAGCAAAATAATTTTTTAAAAGTAAGTTGTGTAAGTAATATTACTGTAATGTAACAGTGCAACTAGACTTTTTAATACAATTCTTTACTATTCTGTGACACTAATGCCTAATTGCTGTAAGCCTCTCAGAGATTTATCCTAAGTTTGTGACTGAGTCCAGAGCTGTGCACCTTGATCAGGCTGTAGGGGCCTCTTGCGCAGTTTACAATGAACTTTCTCTTTACTATTGTTTCACATAAAGGATGGAGTTGCCAGGTTATTTTCCCTTCACACCATAACACCGGACCTCATTGTCTCTGTAAGAGCTACAAGCATCAGACAGTGGCTATGTTTACACACATACTTTTCAGATAATTATCTGCATATCTGAAAATGATGCAGACAAATGAATGTGACATAGACATAGATTTGCAGAGGACATTCTATAATGTATAATCGTATTTTTTGAAATCTGTTTTAAAATTAATTGTTTCTTGTTTGGATATGACATCACATCATTAAATCATGTTCTGATATGACTTCACATTAGGTATCATCAGGTATGATGTCATATCAGAATGTGATGTGATTTGTGATAACAAATGACATTATACATGTCATCACATATGACATCACATTCTGATGTGACAACACATTCTGATAAACACCTAAAGATGAAATTGTGCCAAATTCTAGAATGAGATTAATGCAAACAATTATTTAATTTTTTTTATATATTTAGTGGTCTATAACATAAAACAGGTTTTCCCTAGTAGGGATCAATGTCAGATTTTCCCTTTATATGTTTTATTAAAATCATTATTATCATGATACTGTATATTCTTCAGCAAGTACTGCCAGTTCAGAAGGCACGCCTCCTCTCACTATCGTCACTGATGCCACTCCTGTGAGCCTCGAGCCGTAAGTTCTCCTCTCCTCTTGTAAATGCTCAAATCCTATCAGGTTATTAGATCTTCATGTTTTGATACATTTTAGATTCTTATAGTCAGACCTAAGAGAAATTACAGGCCCGACTATGAGAATCTCAAAATTATGACTCTTCAGATACAACTTTATTCAATCTTGTGTATAACCAAACATCGTGCTGTGTCTATGCCCAGGCGCATCAACATCGGGCAGCAGTACCAGGCTGAGATCCCAGACTTACAAAGCCCGGGGAGCTGCGAGCTGGACCTGCACAAGGCCGACCTGCTGTGGCGGCCCCTGGAGGAGCCCACTACAGGGGGACAGGACCCGGGTTAGTATGAGGTCATGTAAGGGTCAAAAGTTAAAGAGAGATGGGGACATGGATTAGTTTTATTTTGCTGTTAGATTTGGACTGCTGTGTGATAGGAATGGAACTGAGGTAAAACTGCCATGAGATTGTGCGTTCATGTGGAGATCTATCTTGCAATATATCCACACCTTTACCTGCGGAGATGAAAAGGTTAAGTGGTGGAAGGTTGCATCTTTAAAGATGGGGTATTAGGCAAAATTGACTTTTTGGAGTTTACTACCATGTTATAACGTCCCCACGCCCGAAGAGGTTTTATGTCACCCATCCAGCATGTTAATGTTAATGTTAATATGTTGTTTTTGGTGAAGAGAGCATTTTTTAAACTATAAAAGCTAACCTGATCTAAATATGTTATGACTTTGCAGTTAATACCCCATAAAAGTGCGATACCGCCTCAGTCTGAGGACACAGTAAAGTGTTTATTTTGTGCCAACCTATGTTGACGCAGATAAATCAATGCTATTTTTTTTTTTTAATGATTGAGAAAAATCAAAGCGCATCTAATTGATCTGTGGACAGTGATCTGTTTTGCGATACTTAAAGGAAACATGTAAAATAGACTTATAACAGATTTCCCTCATTATTTTACTCATATTAGTTGTATTCTGATGAAATTGGTGCAGGTTTGTGTAATCCTCTACTGTCCCCTAATTTGAGGCTTGAAAATGGCTAGAAAAGAGGCATTTCACCTGACATGTATTATGTGAATTATTCAACACAAGTAGTCTATTATCCCACTCCCACTTTCTAGTGGGAGTGGGATAATAAATAGCATCAGCGACACATAATGTAGGCAGAGCTGCATGCGCGCGTACTTTAAAAAGCTTCAGTTTACACCAGAGGCAGCAGAGCTGCTCTTGTGGTGCCAGCCTCTGTGGATTCTCATATTTAAACACTAAACGTTTTTACATTGCTTATGTATTCATTGTTCATTGGATGAATTGTTTTAAATCTCAGTACAAAAGTTGACAACAAGAGAGACAATGCTTTGCAGCGATAACGAGCCGTATCTGCAACGCTCACGTTAATTAAGTTACTCACCACTTCACTTTGGTCGTCTGCACCACATGCCTTTTCCTTCAGAAGTTGTTCTCGTGAAGTTTCTGTCTGATGTCATGAAGTGTTTTATATTCATCCTCCACAGCTGTAAACTTTCCATAGTCCATCATGAGTCATTCCCAGAGCTCCTGGATGTAATGCACGGTGTTTACGCGACTGTAGTGGTTTTGTAGAGAACATATTTTGAAAGGGCATCCGAGGTTTATTTTGACAATACGTGCTTATTTCCTGTCTTGCCCCTGCCAGAAAGCCTGGAGACACCTCTGTTGACGCTGAAAAATTAGAATTGCAGTCTGATTTGTGCGGCATGTAGTGTAATGGCGGCCATTGGACACACGTATGACACTGCTGGTGTAGATTGTTGGACCAGTTAAAATGGAAAGCGATACTTGCTGCTCATGTACTGTGTTGCTCGTGTACTGTGCTGCTGTGCTTTGGTGTAAACTGGGGGTAATAGTCACATTTTTCTGTGTGCGATAGAAAGATGTTTTGATGAAGTATGATGACGTATTACACATTATAACACATCACATATTTAGATCACATATTTAGATATTACCTTTTATTGTTTTTAAATCTATCACATCACCATCGAGATGCATTTCACTAATGAAACTACTGCACATTGCATTAGGTTTGTAGTGTATTGTTTTTGTTTTGTGTTTTCCATATATTTATGTAAAATCATTGTCATGTGGGAGCATGGGTGAATGAATAAATTTTACAGCTAACTATAAGGAGGGTTCAAATAGTGCCTGGGAGAAATTACTCAAACATGCATGAATGACATCTAAACCCTCTTTAGTCTCAGTGTTATATGTGGACCATACTGAGTCCTTGTGTTCTTTGTTGTGTGTGCAGTGCGTGACCTGATGAACATGGCGTGCTCCAGTGTTCTTAGGGGAGGAGGAACCAACCAGGAGCTGGCCCTGCACTGCCTGTTCCAGAGAGGAGGAGACGTACTGGTGAGGGCCTGTAGACAGCTGGCACACATGGGGGTGGACTGCACCAGGGCTGGTACTCTTAAAAACAAGTATTTTTTTCATCACAAGATTTGATGAAGTTACTCAGCAGTGCCACTATAAATGGAGAATGGCTTTTAGTCAAATTGTGCAGATTTAAGTCAAAACTTGTGAACATATGAGGAGACAAAGGGACACACAATCCTTGTGAGCACTTAATGCTCTTACTGCCACATGATTGGCTGTTGACCTGTGTCAATTAAAATGCATATGCCTTATCATCATGATCAATAGTCATGGAAGGGAGGATTCAACTAGACTGAAACTAACACACCTACACTACCAATCAATTTCAGTGTATTTTTTCTCTGCTTATCACTTTTTACATATATATATATATATATATATATATATATATATATATATATATATATATATATATATATATATATATATATATATATATATATATATATAAGACATCAAATAAATGAAGTAAAATATATGGAATTATGTAGTGAAGAAAAAATGTTAAATAACACAACTCAATATTTAAAAAAAAAAATTTTATATTCAAATCTTCACCTGTCATGACATATGACATCATTTTAGTGTACCTCTCATGATGTCACAGTGTACCTGTGATGAAGCCGTGTTCCATTCTAACTGTGTCACTGTGTGTTTCAGCAAACAGTGGGCTGTCTGGTGCTGCAGGACATGCTCTTCCCTAAAGGCCACCCCCTGTGTGACTACCACTACTCAGGTCAGGACTGGACTATACCTCAAAACAACTGAAACCAATACATTTTACAAATACACCATTCTCATAGCAAATCACTATTGTTCTAGCTGAGGTCTTTGTTTTTCATAGTCTTATTCCTGAAAACTTTCTGTATGCATTTTTCAAGATTTTGAAGATTCAAAAACCCATTCTAATAACTTACCTTCTCATTCCTCAAATTCATTGTCCATGTGTATCCATGGGGTCTTATCTGGCCTAAAAGCTGCTAATCCTGTATTGTCTCTACAAACATGTTGTGTAGTGCATGGGACTCTGGTATTAGTGGTATATTTCAAACTTCTTTCAAAGGCTGATGCTCTTGGACATGTCCGAATTGTGCACTATAAAACTGTGCTTGTTTTGTGATGTGTAAGGGTCGGACTGCTGGACTCCAGAAGAGAAACGTTACTTCAACAAAGGCATCTCTGCCTACAGGAAGGACTTCATCATGGTACAGAAGCTGGTATGGACTACAGTCACAATGGTTCATTTGAGCCCTTTAAAGTGACATCACACATGCAGACTCAAAGATAGAACACTACTTTGGAACAATCCCCATGGAAATAGATTATTTTTATGCCATATTGTGGGATATTAAAAAATAAAGACAAGAATATTACCATGGAAACAAACAGGAAGGACCCAGGTCAAATTCAAGTCAGATTTGTGGAGATGCAAACCCTCTCACAGTAAAGATGCATGTTTTTCTGTGCTTTTCAGTGCAATAAAAACATCCAGTATTGAATAAACAAACAGAGATAGGTGGATGCTTTATATAGTTACAAATTTCCTTTAGTAAAGTAATGTAAAGTACTTCAGACAGTGTACAATACATAATATAATATAATATAATATAATACATAACATCAGTGTATATAAATGTATCATATTATACTGAATCATTGAATATGGCATGTGGGACAAATGACCTCCAGAGTCTGTCCTTGGAGCAAGACAACTAAAGTGCTCTCCTGTCCGGTGATGGTGCTGTGCAGGGGATTCTGGGTGATATCCAGGATGGACAGGAGCTTGTTTAGGGCCCTTTTCTCAGCCACAGGTCTGAATGAGTCAAGCTCTGCACCCACTATGGATCCTGCCTTCCTCACCACCTTGTCCAACCATAGGGCGTCCTTTTTCTCTTTCTCTTCAGCAGATCACAGCATTGAAGAGTACACTAGAGATAAATGTGTGGTAGAACATCAGCAGGAGCTTCTGGCAGCTGTTAAAGGACTTCAGACTTCTGAGAAAGTCCAGTCTGCTCTGTCACTTTCTGTAGAGTTGTGTTCTCAGACCAGTCCAGACTGTGGTCGAGATGTAAACCCAAATACTTCTAACTCTTTACAACCTCCACAGTGTCCCCATCAGTAATCACATGTTGCAGCTGTGGCTCCTCCTAAAGTCCACCACCATCTCTTTTAGGGTTAATAAGTTAAATTCAGTCAATCAGTCAGAAAGAGGAAAACACATTTAAATAGAATGTTGCTGTAAGAGTTAAAATAGTAGAAATGACCTGCGACAAAGATATGACTTGAGTGAACTTCCCTGTTACAGTCCAAGTCGCATTATCCTCCTAATGATGGTGTGTGCGTATATATATATGTATGATGTCATGTGTGTGTATATATTTGTGTTGCAGGTGCAGACCAAATCGGTGGCTCAGTGTGTAGAGTTCTACTACACCTACAAAAAAAAGGTGAAGGTTGGACGCAGTGGGAATCTAACCTTCGGCCCCCCAGACTCCCCCCTGGATCGGCCGGACGAGGTGCTTGAAAACAAGGTACAGCTGTAGTCCCTGGAGTCAATGGACAAGAGCACTGCAGTGAACATTTTAGTAATAAAGCATTCGAAGAAACCTTCACGTGTTTCCTTTAGTCTGGTTTGGACCCAGCAGAATATCAGGTAATAGCTGGTAGGCCGTATCCACAGATAAGTTTATCTCTAGTAGTTACTTTTACTAAGTTGGTTGCTACAGTTAAAGGTCCTGTATTACACAAGCTTTAAGCCATGTTTTGTAACGTTTTGTTTCATTCACACATGTTTGAGTAATCCAGGTTTATTATTCTGTCTACATCTTCAAAGCTCAAAGTACTATATTCCTCCTTATGATGTCATGCAGTGGTAGTTCAATTTAACAGCTATCTTCTACTTATTGTAGAGTAGAGATAGGAAATTCCAAGGCTGAAATCACCCAAATGATTCTACATGCACACTTCCTGATTATTGGAGAATTGGAATATTTTAACTTCAAGAGCTGAGCCTACAATATCTGTGTTCAACACTCTGCTCAAATGTTTGGAGAAACATCGGGTACAGGGCCTTTAACGTTTTATCTGTTTATCTCTTACATCTCCAGTGCCATCTCTCTTTGTAAATGAGTTGTGCTATTTTGCAGAGCTCCATGCAACCAAGAGTTATCCTGACTGAGGTGCAATTGAACCATCTTCCACAGCTTTCTTCTGAGCAAAGCACTTCCTCTGAGCAGAGCCAGGAAAGCCGGCATCAGGCAAGAGTCGCGCAGTCACTACAGGCACACGACTATGTATGTATGAATATGTGGTCTAACGCGGAAGTCATTGGACTTTTTTCTTTTATTAAATTGTTTTAGATGAATATTGTGATTTCAAATGTGCAAACATAGCAACAGAAAGATCCATGGGGGTAATAGATTATAGCTTTATAGCAGACACAAGTACAATATGTCTGCTATAAAGCCGAGCTGGAGGACAGGTCAAACTCTACAGTGGAAGTTGCTCTTTAATATTTCTGTAATTACTGGGCCTTTCTACATGAACCAAAAACTGGTACAAAATTCAGAGTCTTTTGCCTTTCATCTGAAATTATGTGAATGCAACCTAAAGACACTTCCATTCACATTCTCTGGGGGTGTGATGCTAAACAGTCTCTAATAAAATGTGTTTGTGTTCTCCTGTAGGCAGCGTCCGTGGTGGTACGCGACCCGGTGAGGTCCACTCCCCCCCAGCCCCCCGCTCACACCCGGCCGCGCTCAGAGCCCCAGGCCAAGAAGGGCAAGGCTCCCCCAAAAGCTCCAGCAGACCCCGACCAAGTGTTCCCCTGCAAAAAGTGTGGCAGGTGAGGCAACCACTGTTACACCACTGGTATTTAATGGACTTTTAAGTTTCATAAACGATAAACCTATCCATGTCCCATACTGTATATGAGGTCAAAATGTTTAAATCAAATATAGCTTTTACTGGTGACAAATGCTCTAGCTGCTTTATTTTTAACCACAAAAACATTGGACATGAAGGCCATGTTGTTAGAATTTAGTGTTTTCGTTCTCCTCCAGTCAGAAAACAGAATGAGCCTCACATGAGTCTCGTATTTGGGTTGTCAGTTTCACTAGTGAAATTCAGTTGGTTTAAACTTAAAAAGACACTAAACCCCAGCATCTTCAGCCAAATCATGAGTCAATGCAAGTGCAGCCTCTGCAGCTCAGGAGAGAAATCTGGAGGTTCTGAGCTTGACATGAGGCCTGGCCTCAAATCTGTAAATAATTATTTTTTCTGTTCTCCCCAGTCCAGGGACAAACATTTTCCATGTTGATTCAGCAGATGATTGGTAGAGATGGACAGTTAGATATGTTTTAAAGATTCAGTTTTTTGGATTGGAATTATTCTTTTGGTCCATCTGCTAAAAGGGATATGTGAAGCTCCTGGGCATGTGAATGATGAGAAAGCTGTTACTTACTTTCAGAAGAATCTGGAGCACTGCCAGCTTCATAGCCTCATGTGTCTGTGCTCCAAAAGGATCTTCACTTTGTGTTGGGGTTGTGTTAGTCTGCAGGTGTTTTTGGGAAAATCAACCTTCAGCCTATGTTTTACGTGCTGTGAGCCTATGTGCCCATCTCTATAATATGGTTCTGATGCTCACCCTGAATGATTGTCAGAGGCCAAAGTTGCACTCTTTCAGTGCTGCAGATCCATGTGCTCTTCAGTTTGCTAATAACAAAAATGTACTGCCTGCAGGGGTTCAGCTTAAGGAGAGGGTAGCCAATGGAAAATCTATTTTCTTTCTACCATCTTAGAATGTTTCCTCATGAAAAACATGTCTGAAGAGGTTTTAAATGTATGTGTTTTCTGAGTATTTTAGCAATCTTTCTCTTTCTCTTTCTCTCTCTGTTTCTCTTTCTCTTTCCTTCTCTCTGTCTTTAGAATGTTCAGAGTATTCTGTGTCTGAAAGCATATGTGCCTGTGCCCTGCCCCAGAGACACAGTTCTGAGCTCCTCTTGTTGTTTTCCTTTCAGAGTGTTTGGTAAAGTGAAGAGCCGCAGTGCCCACATGAAGAGCCACGCTGAGCAGGAGAAGAAGGCTGCGGCCCTCAGGCTTCGGCAGCAGGAGGAGCAGAACCGGACCAGGACTCTGCAGCTGGAGCCCGGGTCTGAACCAGGACTGGGGGCCAGACCGGGACCTCGCTCAGAGCAGGGCAGACCGCGGACTGGGGGATCCTACCAGGAGCAGGGCAGCGGGGCAGAGTCCAGTGAGGCTGACGATGCCTATGATGAAGACTGGCATTAGAAGCAGCTCATCTGATCAAACTCCAAACTAGAAGGTTTTCTCATAAGCACAATGAAAACACTTTCCTGGTGTCTGCTCAGGCCTGTCACCATGACACATTTAGACGTGCAATGGATTTGTACTTTAAAATAAATTTCGATAGACAGTAATATTGAAGACGGCCAAAGACACAATAAGCCTAAAGCTGGATAATGATGTAAATGTTTTTTTAAAGGCACTATACTGATTTTATTGTCTTAAAAATTGTGAAAAACAGAACTACTGTAGTTCATTTTAAACAGTTTGCAATGGTCCAAAGTTATTTCTCACTTACCTTATACATTCTGAGCATCCTAATTATTAGTACTTTCAGGGACCAGAGCAGAGTTTTGCTATAACAGTAAAGCTAACAACGCACTTCCTGATTATCAGACAATAAAACGCTTTATATTTGGTACACAGCAGACTTATTTTGATCTCAAGGGCTGCTTATACAATATATCTGTACTGGGGCAAGACACATATTGCTTAAGTAAACTACTACTACTTCTACTACTACTAAAATACATGGGAAAAATTTGATACAAGCCCTTTAATTTATTTATTGACCTGTATCAGGATAGCAGCCAACTCCTCTACCAAAAAAAATACACAGTGAGCCTTTGAAGTATTTGAAAAGAAAAAAGAAAATATTTGCAACTACTGCAATTAAAATTTAATATTTACCTTAAAGAGGGGGTATTATGCAAAACAATACACTACAACTTCACAAACCTGATGGGATGTGCCGTAGTTTCAGTGGGATGCATGCTGATTGTGTGGTGGTGTTGCTCTGAAGGGGTAGTGACAAGGGGAGTCATGATTCAGAGCATAAAAATAAACATGAAACCTAATATGTTGTTTCTGGTGAATATAGCATTTGCAAAACCGTAAAAGGAAAGGTGATGATCTAAATATGTGGTGTGTTAGCACATGGGTGTCAGTACAGAGAAAAATTAGAATATGTGCATTTATAACAGGTTAGACTGAACCACCAGACCTTTGTTCATGCTTACAGCCTCAACAGGACACACTAAATATATGATACTGGCTTGGTAGATTTTCTTGTAGTAAAAGTACTGTATAAGGTTATATGGGCCTAACTAAGTAAAATTGGTCTGAGGGCTGCAGTTCCCCCCCAGGTCTTAGTTTGGACATGCCTGTGTTAGCAGTACAATACCCCCTCTTTAAATCATACTTCATCTATCAGTTATTGAAACGTCAGCTGTTACGGTGACAGGCCTAGTTCTACTCCTCCACACACTCCCCTCCACTCATCGAAGTGGAGATTTTTTGTACTTTTTCAGTTTTATATTTACACGAAATGAATGTCAAACACAACCTCACTAAGTGGACCGTGTGCAAAAGATCAAATGGTATTACACTGTAAAAGAGGAATATCTACAAGTTCAATAGCTTTTACAATGTTTACAACAATGTCCTGTAAAGGGGCAGGTGGGAATCAACTCCCATTTCGTCAGCAGACATGCTTATTTTATTAAGTCTTTTTTGATGAATATTTCATTTGCATTTTGCATTTAAATTGTCCAAATAATAACATAATGATCCATGTGTCATAGATTATAACTGTAGAGCAGACACAAGCGTAATATCTTTAAGATTCTAGATACTCTGACTTGAGGATTCTCCTGTCAATAAATTTAGCAAAGCGGAGTCATAAAAAAGCACATAAAACAGTTTGTTTGAATTAAATGAGATCAACCAAACATCTAAACTGCTCCTAATCCCTCAAATGAAGACAATATGTTTGAAAAAAACAAAAAAACAAAAAAACTCAAACGTAGATCTTTCTTTTTTGCAGTGTATATTGTCAAAGCCTTTTTAACAATATAAATAAGAGCTTGTATTTATAATCGTATGGAGAAATACTGTATTGATTGTTGCAGATGTGTTTTATTTTTAGATTGGTTGTACACATATTTTTTAGATTGGTTGTACACATATTTTTACAGCTAAGGGACCTTTTTGAATTGTACAAAAGTTTATAAGAAAATGCCATATATATTTATGATGCATTTTGCTGATCTAACACCAGTGTATGAGTGCATCATTAAAGTGTAAATGGGGAAAAATATACATTTCTATTGTTTATAAGTGGTCTGTGTATTCTTTTTGTCTGAGGTTTATGGTGTAATGTGGGACTGGTCCAGTAGAGGGCGCTACAGCCCTATTCACAACAGCAGAGAGAGAAGTCTAATGCAGGAGTTGACATCATCATAAGAAGTACTTGACATAACATGAGAGGGTAGTTAGATTTTTTTTTTTTTTTATGTGTCAGATGCCCTTCCATCCTCAAACATACATGTGCATGCCAGTCCAAAGTTTGGACACACTTTTTCACTTCTGTCGTTTCTTTGTTTCCATGAGTTTACATTGTAGAATCTCACTGAAGGCATCGACATGTTTTAGATTTAAACATTTAAAAAAAAAAAAAACAGCCACCCTTTGCTTTGAACCCTGGTTTGCACTTTTGGCATTTCTTGACCTTGACACTGCTGCTGTGAAAAAACATTTCAGGAGAGTTCATCATGAAGCTCACTGAGAGAAAGCCAACAGTTCGCAGAACTGTCGACAAAGCAAAGGGTGAAACTGTGAGGAATTCTATATGAAATATAAAAAAATATATATTTAGCCGAGGTATTTGACCCAGTTAAGTTAATGGAGTTGTTTAAACATGACTATTAAAATATAATGACATAATATGCAATCATATGACCTTAAAGACCTCCAAAGCACATTACAGTGATATCAGCACCACCAGCCACACTCACTCACACACCACATTCACACAGTGTGGGTGAAGTGTCTTGCTTAAGGACACAACAACTACAGTATTTCCAATAGAGCCAAGGCTTCCCCCAGTGGCTCCTGGTATTCTGCCCCTCGTGGCCTGGCCTTCCTAAGCGTCACAGATCTGATGAGATCTGCCAGTGAAAAGCAGAGAGGGTCATACTTGGTGTAAGATGCCCTCCCATCATCCCTCCCATGCCCCTATATCCCTGTCGTGTTTATCTGATGCAGGTAAAATGTATAGTTATCGTTGTGTGATTGGATAAATACAATGACATACTGAAGCTCGCCAGTAACAGAAATGAAGAGTGAATGAAGAGTGAACGTGTGGATTATCCTTTTGGAGATTATTCACACAAAATCCTGTCTCCTGCTCTTAGAAGGACACACACTTTTCTTTAGTCGAGTTTATGAAGCCATATGAAGTCATTAACTGCCCCTTTCATGAGGGAGGGGGAGGTAGCAGGATCGGCCCTGACCAGAGGGACCATAACTCAGCCTTAAGGAGCCCAGTCAGCACCACAGCTCCCCTCCCACCCCTGTGGGACTGTGGCAGAGTGGTGATTCTGCCTCCTCTCAATGAAGAGGTTATGGGTTAGACTCCTGATGAGGGGTCGGTCCTTGAGTTGAGTGCACCACACCTCTGGGGTCACAGGTCGCACCATAAAAATAATGAATGTCACCGGAGCATAAATAAGAAGTGTTTGTGTGAGTTTAACCTGAGCCACCACCACAGAGCAAAACATGCGCACGCACACACACACACACACCTACACACACCTACACACACACACACACACACACCCTTTCTCTCATACACAGATACACATACAGTATTTATGTCTCTGCACTGCAAAAACATGTGAAGCCATGTTAGCTATTATTTTGTAATAGTAATTCAACACTAAGTGCAAGTGTGGGGCAGAGGTGTGCGTAGTGTTTAAATATCAGGTGGAGTGGAGCAGACTCAGGGCGTGATGTGATGCCTTCAGTGAATTGTCAGAATTGTAAAAATAAACATCAAACTAGACCACTGAAAAACAACTTGTAACATGCTCAAGGCTTCTTCTATTTGGAAATATATTAGAATGATAAATACTTAACATTTGTAGTAATATGAGGTTTCACCCCTCCCTCCTAAACTCCCACCGCTGACGTCGCACACTGGAGGAGCCAAGCTGTCATGGTCGCAAGAAGCGAGGCCCCAAGTGGAGCACGTTTAGATGCACTAAGATTACTGTTGAGAGGTGTCCGGCTCAGTATTTGCGGAGAGTGTGAGGGCATCGTGGGGCATGTTTGGGTGGTGTGCAGCAGTGAAATCCATATAGTTCCTGTTAGCAGGAAGCCTCCCCTTTTCTTTCTGTGTACCTGGTCTGTTCTCTGGTCCTGGTGCTTGGTGAAAGGACTCGCCCTCAGGAATCTTTGACTTGTGGGAAATGCTGCTGCGAGGAGCGATACTGACTGTGGTAATTGTCCTAAGGTAATCCCAAGTAAACGAGGCCAAGTGGACCAAATGGACAGTGAATGTAATGGATTGGTCGAGGATGTGTTTGTTATTAACCCTTTGCAAAAATGGATAATAAATTCAATGTGAAGTATATTCAAATCTCATGCCATATTCAGTGAATGAACCTGTGTGCCTATAGTGTGTAGGGAAAATACAATGTGCTGCTATCACCAGGTGCCGTTGGTAATTTTGCTACATTAAAGTCCACTTAAAATACGCTGCTCTGCTACACATTCATAACATGTTCATGGGCCAACTAGATGCCCTCTCGCAGCAGAGCACAGCCCCTCACCCGCTCCCTGTGGCGGCTCAGCACTGCTCTATATCTCTATATCTATATCTCTGTTTGGTTTGATCTGGATCTGTACAAAAACTGCTCATTCACATGAGGCCGTTTACAGTGATGTCCTAAAGTGTGTTTTCTTACTCCGTCTGTGGCCCTAATGCTGCTATATCGATTTCCTCACATTCTCACAACTTTTCTGTCATCAGCTCCATTTAATTTTGTGACCAAATTAAATGGAGCTGATGACAGCATTGGTTAGTTTATAAAGTTAGTCACCAGTATGTCGGCTGCCATCCAAACCGTAGAAAACTGTGTACAGAGCCGTGGAGCGACCGGACTCTGACAGGGATCAGCACATTCACTGACAGTTCGGGGCTGTGACAGTGGAACAGATGCACGTCTCATACTTGCTGCTCTCTTGGCAGCAGTGGTCAGTAGAGCTTTGTACAACAACTCATGAGACATATAATGCACATGAGCCCTACTCACTGCTCTGTACAGACCTGCACGTCCTGCTCTGTGCTCATGGTGCATATCACTCGCTTGTGCAGTGCAAGTGAAGGTCGTGCATGTGTTAATGGTTTAATCCAGGTCTGTGCACAAAGCAGAAACATTTATATGACAATAAATGTATTCCATAATTAGAGAGACATCCACCTGTGTGGGACCAAATGCAGTGGACAGCCATGAGACAGATGAGAATGTGAGCGGTCAGGGGTAGAAGCAGTGGAAGCTCACTGCGGTAGTGAACTACGGGGCAGGCAGGAGCGGGTACGACCGGGGGGAGAGCAGCAGTCAGCGATTCTGCTGTGGGATGTGAAGCGCATGAGATAGACACTGGTCTGCTCCGTAATGAGAGGCAAACAAAATGAGGAATGCAGAGAAAACTCAAAAAGGTTGACGTGTGTGGCATACACACTTAACCCACTGCCCACTGCTTAAAGCAGTGGGCAGGTGTGAGAGGGGCGCATGTGTGCTTGGAGTGTTCGGAACACAAACGCAATCAGTTCTTTCATGGTTTATCCAAAATTATTTATTCCTGGTGCCTCTGGTGTGGACTTGCATCGAGGGGTTCTGGAGCTGTTTTATTGTCACATATAGAACTTTTCCCCACACTCCTCTGTGCTGCCTGTAATGAGACAAAGATTACAGACATATATATATATATATATATATATATATATATATATATATATATATATATATATATATATATATATATATATATATATATATATATATATATATATATATATATATATATATATATATATATATATATTTTTTTTTTTTTTTAGCTTTTTACCATATTATGTTGTTTCCTCATCACAAACATGCTTGAAATGGTTTTAGAGTCATCCATGCATGTTTGTGTAATCAAGTGAACTCTCCAGGGCCCTGTACAAACCCTCCTCACAGTCAGCTGTAAGATTCTGTGCAATGCTCAGCCACAAGAAGAAGAAGAAGAAGAAGAAGAAGAAGAAGAAGAAACATGATAAAAAACTATAGGAGCATGGCATTAGTTTGTACATGAGAAAAAAATATAAATACTGTAACATAGTTTGTGTAGGATTTTTATTAAATCAGTACAAAACGTCATTAATAATTGTTTACCTGAATTCAGTTGTTTAAACCACAGTCTGAATATTCCTTATAAACTTAACCCTCACGCTCTCCTCGGGGTCACATTGACCCAAAGAAACTTTTTTTTCCCTTCTCACTCTCTTGGGGTGGGTCAATCAGACCCAAAAAATTATTTTCTCTCCTGGCAAGAATTTATTAGAAAATTTTTTTTTTGGTCTGATTGACCCGCCCCAAGAGAGTGAGAAGGAAAAAAAAGTGTGTGAGGGTTTTAAATGTAATTTATCAGAATGACATGCCAGTAGAGTAGCGTACTCAAAAAAGTACCATTTCCCACAAATCTCCCATTGCCTGGCAAATGTCTGCTGCGTCTCAAGCCCAGCCAAACGTGAACATCCAATCAGATTTCTTGTTTCAGAAATGCATGAGCTCATTTGTCACCCACTATTTCAAATAAAATTTCACTCCCCTCAGATTAACAGTGTTTAGTGCTTCACTCATCGATTTTGCAGAAATCCATGTTTTTCAGCCATCTGTGATATTCTTCTCCTTTATTTGTTCTGATGTGGATGGACCATGAGTAGTTACTTCACCTGTCAATCACACCTATTTGAACTCAGGGAGACTGGTGACCAGACAAGTATCTTTGTAATTATTGGAGAAATGTGTATTCTTGATCCCAAACAATGCATTTAGAGTAACTAGAGTATTTGGAATTGGTTACTTTCCACCCCTGCAGTACTTAACTGTCGTGTTAGTGCACGGTGTGTCTCAGAGCTGCTCCTTGATGCCAAACAGTATAATGTCTATAAGCCCTCTAACTGCCCTGGCCTTGTAATGTGATCTGCCCAGCGCCCTATGACCGCTGCATTCTGATTGGTCTCTGATTGGACACATGGTCACTTGGGTACATGCATGGTGATTGGACAC